GTCCGACGGGTTAATTTGCTTCAAGGGTTACCTCAAAGTTATGTTGTTTATTCTGAAAGTGGATCTGAAATTATTGTATACAGCGTAATCATTAATATAAAAATTGTTTCATTTGATTGAAATGACAGTTTATTTTGTTAGTATTTTTCCCCAGAAATATCTGAACTTCATTGTGTTGTTGTAGAAAAACATTAAGAAGAAATGGTGTACAAATTTACCTAAACCATAAATGTAATGCTCACGATTAACCTTCAATAGTCTTAGGAGCCAATATGTTTGTGTGCTAGATAGATACTTTATTTAGACATATTGAACAGCAGCACAAGTAAAAATGAAACAATAAAAGTATGTATGAAATTTAAACATTTTTTCAAAATACATGGAATTTTAAAGGACTATTGTTTTCTCTATCACATGGTGCTGAGAAAACCAAATGATACTGGATTCATTTTCAGTGGTCTAGAGCAACTGAATTATCTTCGTTTTCACCTTAGGACTCAATTGGTAACATTCTCAATAGGCAAGCCGACACTGACTGGACAACCTCCACAGTCATGTGCTCGCGTTTTTGATTGGCCTATTTCGATCCACAACTGGGTATATATATTTCCTAGCATAGATTTTGCGGTCTATGTTCTGACGTTTTAAATTCTGAAGAGTGCCAGACGAAAAGCTATTGTATATTCAAATGTTTGCTTTTTTTCAAAGCCATTTTTAAACAATATCATGTGTTGCTATTTTTCAAATTGAGATGGAACAATTTATCAGAATTCTTGTTTTGATGAGTATTAGAAAGTATCCTCAATATCGAATGTATTGGAGCCCTGGGACTAGAATTCCAGCACTTGCAGATAAAATATCTTTAGCAAGGTCCGAAAAGCTGAAATGCTTTTTTCATCGAAATGACAACCTTGAAATGTCGATGCATGGTGATGCTAGCTTTGACAAGCTTTGCAAAATTTACCCCATCATTAAAAGTCTTGAAGCCTTAAGCCCTGAAGAGTCTCATTCAATAGATGAACAGATGAACCCTACAAGAACAAGATCTTTCCTTCACCACCAGTACTAGCCAAAGAAACCACACAAGTGGGGCTTGAAAGTTTGGGATGAGTGGAAGGCTATAGGATTTTGAAGTCTACACAGTTGAACAGGCAGAAAACAGGAAATTTGGAATATTAGGTTTTAGTTGTTACTAGGCTTGTTGAGCATTTGCCAAAGCATTCGGGACACAAAGTCTACTATGACAATCTTTTCACAAATCTTAAGCTTGAACAGCACTTGAAACAGGGTGGAATATGGTCTCTTGGTACAATTCGCTCCATCCGACTTGATAGGTCGTTGAAGGGTGAGAAAGATTTGGAAATTCCAATATTGGTTCATCTGATTTTGTGGTGATGTAAATTCCAATATTGTGTTCGTTGGCTTGATAATGGCCTAGTTCAAATGGTTTAATCATTTGTTGGTATTAAAGATGGGGGGACTGTTAAACGTTGGAGTGCAAAAGATAAGGCAATGATTGATGTACCCTGTTCCTTGATCATTATAAAGTACAACAGGCACATGGGGGGTGTTGACCTTTGTGATATGATTATAGCTCTCTACAGAATCAAGCTTGGTACCAGGAAATGGTACATGCATATTGTGTACTATTACATAGGAGTTGCTGTGGTTGATACCTGACTTCTATACATAAGGCACTGTCAACAAAAAGGAACTACAGAAAAGAGGTTTTGAGCCTGCTCTAATTTAAAATAACGATAGGAAATAGTCTTCTTGCCTCAGGTAAAGAGCCACAGCAAGTAAGTGAAGACGGTCTTCTTCTAGCCCCAGCAGCTAAACCACCCCCCTCCCCCCTCCCCTCTTCACATGTATGCCTTGCTGTACAAGCGATATCTTTGCTGATTATCAATAAACAACGGAAAATGATAAGAAAACCAAATTTCATCATTATAACATCACCAAGCAAATCTTTTGATTTTTCTGTTAACGCTCTTTTGATCACTTCCAAAAACAGTTACAAATATTTTTGTCTCACATATCCATAATTTAAAAAGTAAAAACAGGAAGAAATGTTTTAAACTTTTTTCTTGATCCGTTTTGTTCCGTCACGGATAAAAAATTCCAGTCATGTGACCACATTCGCGTCCAAAGCGCATCCGCACCACAAAATCTAATCCGATCTGCGGATCGTTTTCCGGAGTGGGTTTTCAGCTTGAAACAATATGCTTAATGTACAAGAGATTGAGAACTTGCGTTAATGGACTGATTTGACGTAATACAGCAACCACGATCTTTTTGTAATTTTGCAATAAGACAACAAAACTTCAAGACATTTTATACAAAACGTAATGCGATACCAGCTTGGAAGTCTAAATAGACCATCAACTTCGCAAATAAGCTGGATTTCACACTCTACAGTATTTGACGTTTTGAAGTGAAATCTTCAGTTCATACTCTCTAAGAGACTAGGCCATGGGCTAAGCAGCCTTGTCACTACAGGGCCTTAAGCCACCCCCCCCCCTCTCATCTCATCTCATCTCATCTCATCTCAACACTATTGAATAAATCAATTCCATCAATTTTGCTACACATCAACTATGTAATAATAAATTGGAGTGATGAATACTCCAATACATCAGACTTTAAACGTAAGAAGCTAAAAAGGGCCATGACGCTTTTCCTTCATTGTAAATCACATTTTTATTCTTGGCAATTGTTTAATGCTCGGGGGTACACATTTTATGTTTTAATTTGTTACTTCAAATGAAATTTCAAATGTACATGTATACTGAATTTATTAAGGTTTGCAGCAGAAAGACATCATATTTCCAAAAGACAAGCTCCAAGCAGACATTTTTCACAACCAAGCTTAAAGTCTCATGCCTCATTTCATTACTAAAACTGATCTTGATACTTGGAACAAAACCATCCCAAAAATTGTAATTTTAAAGATGATATAATATTGGGTAACAACGTTGTTAAAGAAATGCAAACAATGCTACCTAAATAATCAAGTGCAGCTATTTCACAGCCCTCAATTCCAGACACCATTACGTTTTCAATCATTGCAAAACTGTTCCTTGACTTCTTGCTCAAGTTTTTCATTTTCGTGCTCACTGTTTAATCCAGCAATCCAGAAACAACATTAAGTATTTTTAATTTTCTATTCTGTATTTCATGTATTTTGAGTTAAACAGTAGATAGTATAGGGACGACAAACGTACTCCTCGTTTGTGTTTTCCTTTAACTTGCAATGGTATCATAACCTGTTTTGTTAAGTTGCTATATTTAAAGAGGTTTGTTGGTAAAGAGGTAAAGGTTTTCTTCTAGACCAAACTTGTTGCAGATAAAACAAATAACATTTTGATTAAAATATCTTTGTGGTACAAACATTGAAACATTCAAAACTCAACCAATATTCTTTCGCCCCAAACAAATTTGGAACCTTTATCGCTTTCTAGAAAACGGTTTCTTATAAACTATTTTGATGTAAAAAATGTAAAAATTCAAAGCCAATACTTTGGGATTGATTATTGGCTGTGTTTGTTTACGTGTGTTGTTCCTTGATCTGATTGTTGCTATGCCCTGAAATGTTCCTTTGTACGTTCTAATAGTACATTTGTTCTTTTTGAAATTGGAAATTTGAGCCAACGATTGACCAGGGTTTAAATGACGTGTTAGAAGATTAGCGAGGATTTCATTAACCTGCCCACTAACTGACGTCAGAGTCTGTTCTCAGGCATTTGTTGGAAATGATTAAGATGCACAAGTTTCCCGTTCATTTTCTAATTACATACCTATATCTTCCTATAGCAACAAAATCCAATAGTACCACCCCAAAATTATTTGGTTTTGAATCAAGCTGTGATAAATTTTATCCATTCTTTAGAGGAATTAAATTAGTTTATCTCTTTCCCGGAGAGGGGTAACTTCAAAAGGCTGAAGACGGGGGTGTGTGCCATAAGAAAAAATATTCTAAAATTTAGACATTTTCCAAAACCTGCCCCAAAATTAGGATATAATATGAAATGCATCCCCTTAAATTCAATTCAAAGTTGAGATTAATATTTAATGTCGGCTAATAATCGAGGCAAAAATCCAACAACTCAATCAAGCAAAAAAAATTTATTGCAGTTAAAGTTACTATTAAAGTTAAGGTCATGCCAACAATCAACCCCAAATTTTCTGACCATATTTGATCTGACCTCAAATTTATTTTTTCCTTGAAAGGTACCCCAAAAAATAGCACATACCGAACCAGTGTTTACCCTCCCCCTTCTTCCGGAATTCTTTGGGTCCGTCGCAAAAGTTGAAAATCACTCCAAACATTCTATGACAGAGTCTTTCAATTTCATCGCACATTGTTTTGCACAAGATCTTTCTAAGAATTCCTTAATACAACTTTTCTCAAAGTGATTAATGTTTTTGGCCTTCGACATCCCCAACCTGACTCTGACCTGCATTAATGCCAGTAGGCCAGTGGCATTTCTCTTTACCATACCATTGCAGAAGAACTACAAAGCATAAGGTGGCAGCTGAGGCCTAGAGCAAAAAATTGTCAGGTTTAGTACAAAGTCTGCAATCTAGGTTTTATTTCGTGGGGCAAAAATATCATTTTTGGCAATACAAACTTATACATGCGGTTGTTCAATGTAGGTTTCAGATTCAGCCCCTCTTGTGTGTGTATGACCCGAAATACAAAGGCATAATACTGGAGCCTCCACATTGTAAAAAGGCATCCTGCATTATCAACAGTTGAAAACTCATTCTGAGGTTGAATCATTTTGAATTGCTTATAAAGGGCTATGTTTGGAGACATACCATATTAGGCAAATCGTTTGCAAGTGATTGAAACTGATAAGCATGAAATTTGCTCATTGTACGAAATAACGTCACGATAAATGGTCTTTATGAGAAGCAACTGCTATTTGAAAAATAAACAATAAAGGCGAGTTATGCAGGTACTGTTGTGACGTGAATAAACCTCGCAATCGAAAACTGCTTGTTGGTATGAAAGCCAAATAAAGCTTAGGCCGGTTTAGGCCGCAGAAGTGCTTTTCTGTAACCGATAGGAGGATCTCTCCGTACATCGTTTTAAAATTCACGTTTTTAAAGTAGGTTTTTAAAGGTAATATTGAGCAGCTCGGGAATTTTTATTATATTTCGAATGATTCAGAGAGGAAAACGATGTATTTATTTTCCTAAATTTTTAGAAAATCGCTTCTTATTCAAAATCCAGATTTGCCTTCCCGCTTATCAGGGCTTTTCTCCGCACAATTTTTCCACCAACCGAATTGCAGAAAGATATGAATATAAAGAAACATTCAAGTATTGATTCCATCAAAATTCATTTCAGAAAATATTTTTTCTTTTAAAAAATGTAATGAAGTCCCAATTTTTAAAGGAAGTTCGTTTTCCTCGACGAGGACCAAACAAGGCCTATGTTCTTGGAAAAAGAAGTAGGATACGACTTAACACGTGACATGGAAGGACGGGGGGTACATAAAGGGATATCCTGCTAAATTAATAGTCATTTCGGAAATTTTCTAATTCCTCAATTCAATTTCAGCATTATTGTTTTCTTCATCCTTACGTCACCTTGTGAATGGTCTTGGAAAACCATTAATGAGATATCGCCGGCTTTTGAATAATGACGTCGTGAGTATGAAAAATTTTGTTGGACTCTCCATCAGCAAATGTATCCATAGCAATAGTAAACATTTAGTCACGATGCCCGCAGTTTTCTTCACGTGACAGGTTAAACCATACAGTTAACCAAAATGGTAAAGTAACATTCATTCTTGGCATATTTGCTCGTCTGAAACAAAGTTTATTCCTTCATGATTTTGTTCATGTCTCGATCGAACCACAGCACTTTAATCTTTTTATGTCTAGATTTTAATCATACGACTAAATTGGAGTTGATAAACCAAACCATCGAACGGCCCACGTTATCAAAATCATTTAAACGTTCCAGATTTCTGCCAAAACAAAAATGTTTCAAGGGATTTTGATACCCAGTCCAAAAAGCAATAGGATTTCCACCAAAGATGTACGAGATTTGTAAGGAATGATTTGCCTCTCGGTCTAAACAATATAAAATCACATTTATATCTAGGCGTAAAGAATTCTTTATTTCTGTTCTCCCCCCATTATAATGTTTTGCTTCTATAGCAACGTGTTCTGTCAAAATATTTAAAAACTATATCTTTAGCCATTTCTTGTTAACAGTTGGTAGGCAGTTCTGCAGTGTAGATATCAATGAGCTCATGTAATTGCAACATTGATCAATGCAGGATAAAGAATTAAATCGAAAGAAGGCGGTGAAGCACTGCTCCGTGCGATTTGAAAAGCATTCACATTTCATAACAAAACGATTAAGTACTCACAACAGGAGAAAATAACTCAAGAAATATGAAGCTTTGACAATCACTCTTATTTTTAAAATCTATTTCTCAATTTCTGGAACGCAATTTGTTTCGTTTGCCAATTTGCGGAGAATACTCATTGTCGATTATTCAGGCAATTTTTCGGTATGAGAATGAGTTAAAAGCAAGAGCAGCAGACCCAGAGTTTCGGCTTACAGTTTTCTTTAAGATGACGTCTATAACGAACAAACAGTTCTTATCACAGAAACATAATATACAAATGCAGAACGAACGGTTGTACTTATTGGTATAGATTTTCGCGAATGAAGGACGATTGTTTCTCCTCTCACTTGCGTTAAAAATAGCCAAACTCGAGAGCAGGTCCTTGTGGCTTTTTCTGTGCCAACTCGCAACCTGTTAATGCCTAGTGCTAAAATTCTACGCCAAAAACGTAAACAACCTCTAGGTAACTGAGAAACCCATTTACTTAACAGTGATTTCAAACAGCTACCTCAAATCTCAGAGCGTGTTGCTGAATTCGACTATGCATAATTAATGACTGAATTCATTTTAAAGAAAACCGGATCCTTAAAATGTTAGGGTACGCTGTTGTTTCTGTTTTCCGCCGTGGGAAAGAGCGTCTCTAGCCAGTTGCCCTCTATTGTTGATCAAAAGCATTTATATACCACCAATAAAAATAAGATTAGGAAAGTACGCGTCATTGCTCGTAAGAATGTCATTAAAAAGAATTTGAACAAAGCTTCTAACTGAAGCAGGAAATATTTCATTGTAATTGGCTGTGGAAGATTTGCATATGAATACTTATGACCCGTTGGATTTGTATTAATAAGATAGACAGAAGATTCCTTTGACAGAAAAAGTACAACACGAATCTGCGATAGGACGAAGCAGAGGATAACAATACGACTTCTTCTAAAGGATAATAACACGAAAATTGACGAGGCACAGTTCTGTAACTGAGCTACATTAAATTAAAAGAAAAGATGGCGAATGTTTGCGATCAAAACACTACACAATCATCAACTAATGAGCTCTTAAGTTTCGTATCGAATGCTTCAAGAGAGCTCAAGGACATGCTTGGTAAAGTTGACACCGACGAAAGAAGAGAAGCAACTTCAGGAACCTGCTTTAGTTTACCATTGCCAGCTACACCAATGAGTAGCCCTGTGCCGAGTCCAACTCCAAGCTGTGTGTCTTCGGTTAGTGACCAGGAGGTCCCTTCTATGTCTCCCCGCTTTTTTGCGAGCGGTTCCCAAAAATGGTCGCCTCGCAAAAGGAGCCACGATTCATTGCGCGATGTGCCTTTTTCCAACTTTTCTGCAAAATTCAGGCGAACCGACAGCGTTGGGGATTACGACGAGTACTATCAAAGTTGTGCTTTGAAGACACCTCACAGACCAAGCGTAATGCAAAGTTCGCCCCATGAAATCGACTATGTAGTACAGCAACTTGTTTGCCAAAAATCATTACAAGCAAGACAGACATTCGACCAGCTAAATGGCGCTCAGCTAGATTGCCACCAACATCCGTCTTACAACAGAATTTCCCAGCAATCGGCCTGTGAAAGTTACACTGTCCGTTTTGGGAACCAGCCGAGTTATACCGGACACGGTATGTACTTCCCATCGACGCACTCCTATCACATTCCACCAACGGAACCAGTTCCCGATTTCGCTGACCTGGTAAGTTGGATGCTGGCAGAGGACTTTCTAGATGCAGAGTCATTATCTGCTCTACTCTCGCGTTGTTAGTTAATGTATATTTTAATTAGACGAGATCTAGATTTAGCTCGAATTTAACCAATCATCGACAAGTGCTTCGACAAGTACGCTGTAACATTACTATCCACACCGTCACAATATTTCCAACTCATACTCCGAAATTATACGTTTTAACCATATAAACGGATAATAATTTACACGATGAAACATCTGATGGTCTTTCGAGAAATCTTTCAGTGCAAAATCAAATATGAAATGTATAAGCATAGACCTTGTTAGAACCATGGGTTGTTCTTTGAGTTTTGAAATATTGTTGAGCGTTTGTGGTATTTTATGCAGACAAATGTATATTTATATACGAATTGAATATTTAAAGGAAGCTTACACATCACCCTTGCACCGCGCCATTAATACTCAAGTAAGTTTAGACTATTAGTACAACAGTGGGCGTTCCGTGTTTCGATGTTGCCAAACCAATAAAGATGGAGAAATTTGAAACTGAGTTTTATTTGTTTGGTTAGATTGCTTAGAAATTGAGAGTTTCTGTTTTGTTAAACAGACTCTTGAAACTGGCCTTCTAAGGGTTATGTGTTTGCTTATACCGGGTTTAGATGCATGACGTTGCAATCCATAGAAATTTATTTTATACTGACGCAGGACGTCCGAAGTATTGCGTCTCCATGGAATGGAGTGCATGTAAATAATGCTTAAATGACTGACATATTGTCTCTTAGAGCTCAAGTATGACTCTTGATTGTCGAACCTAACAAAGTTGTAAAATGAGGCCTTTTCAAAGCAAGGTCTTCATTTGTAGCATACTCAAATGTGACAAGGGGATGTCACATAGATGGGAAATGTATCAATTTGGCTTTTTGGAAAAGATGACTAAAAAAGACCGTAGATAATAGCCGGATATTTTGCCAATTTGCCATTACCTTTTAAACTATTAACACAAAACTGTTTTGCGCATCTTTAACTTTTAAAGCCTGATCTCAAAACACCCTATTTTGACAATAATAAAATTACCTGATCTTACACAGGCAATGGTAATTCATCAGAGGAGCAGCCCCTGTTTGATTTTGTTCCGATCACTTTGGCAACAGACTCAATTGAATTAATTGCGCAGATTTGAAGTTTTAAGAATCTGAAAGCTTTTGACACAAGGTTCAAGGTGAATCTAAATGCTTTTTATAAGGTTGACTTTGAGTTGCAAAGTCAAGTGACCTTGTGAAATTAGACTCTGGTTTACCAGTGTTGTGGTTTAACCTATATTGCGGTATAAATACGAGTAGAACGTAGGCAGGTGCTGCGTTTAGACTATCGCAACTTTCATAAGCTTGAATGCAATTTAATTATGCTCTGTCTACTTAAATATTCATGAATTGTGTTCAGTTAGGGGAAAGTTGCAAACCTGCACTCATTGAAATCTGATAGCAAAGATTTTAAGAGTTGGAAGCGTTTTATTTTGTCAGATACCATCATTTGATAGCATAGAGATGGCAGTTCTTCCCACTGCCAACGCAATGGCATTCCGCTGAAAGAGACAACAACATCAAGCATTATCTGTGTATTTGATGCCAAATAATCCTTTTCAAAAGTGTACTTACATTCTTTTCTCTCCTTATGATAATGAACACACACGTTGTTTTTACCAAGACTGCCTATCTAGGTTTTTGTAAATACAAAAACCTAGATTCAACAAGATCAAAAGCTTGAAATCAGTTGGTGAGGTTTGCAAGAACTCGCAGATCAATGTTTTGTTTTTACTCTCATTTTGTCTGTTACACACATAGAATTGAAAAGCGTGTCGACATCAATTTTTTTTTTGTTTAAATTGGTATTCAGAGGATCTTCTTATTCTTTATATACTTGAAATTTTTTTACTTTGCAACAAAAAAGTCTCAGTGTTTTATTTTGCTATTACGAAGAATGTTTTACTTTTTACGTACTGCACTAGACAGATTCCCTTTATCATCTTTTCAGCTGCCGCAAATTGGGGGGGGGGGGGGATTAGAGCTTTGTGGGTCACCTTTCTAATTGAAAATAGACCCTTCTGGTAAGTGACCAGGCTAGAAAATTCCTAATCAGTGCTGAAAACAATTGATGCAAAGAGATTACCAGTAAGATTACAAGTGATGGTGTTTTTGGCATCCATCAAAGCTAAAGGCCTGATTTTGAGACCCAAATATGCTTATTGTGGTTAGAAAATGAACGGCTAGACTTGCTCTTTTTTACTCTTTTTTTACTGAACCCATGATCTTTCAGAATTTTGGGCTAGCAGGCTTTTTGAAACCCATTGCAACGATTCACTGAGCTTCAATATAGAACCGTGTAAGGAGCATAATTTCAGCATACAACTTCATCGCTTTTCATCACCAAAAACTATAAAAACTGTCTACAACTTGAAGTGATATGAAATTAACGAGTTGAAAACGTGTTTTTAGACCTTAAAGTCGTATTCTCTGTTTTTATAAAACTTCCTTCATGTGTATGTAAATTCTGATGCCCAGATGAAATTTAAAATGGCTTACCTTGTTTTCTTCATTTTCGTCGCAATATCTGATGGGAAAGACAGGCCTATATGACAGTGCTTCATGTCTTAACGGATTTTTGATAAACACAACTTATAAAACTTTTCTAATTAGGCATACTGGTTGGCTGATGCTTGACATTTTGCATTGATTCTGTTAAAGTAAGATCAGGCTAATATTTTCTCCAAAACACGTATTATGGTTCTACCCACGTCCAAGCATTTCAATTTTCTTCCTTTTCATTCCCGCACTTTCAAGAAAAGCTGAATGTGACTTTAAAATGCTTTGAAAGTGTTTGGTAAACACGTTCCTTAGCCGCCAGCAATCCCAACAAAAACTGAAAGCATACTTAAGTCCCAGTTCAGCACATATATTTCTATTTTTTGCTTGAAGATAATAGGAGGTAGGCGTTTAGAGAAAGTAGCGTTTGTTCTTTTTCAAGGGTTATGAGATTTTCACTTGTCGCAATATATTCGCCTTTTCATCGAGGTGCTGCCTTTGGGCGGGCTTTTAAACTGTCGTCTAACAAAAGAATTTATGTACTTGGCCCATTCCAAAAAGCTGATGAAGAATTTTATAGATGACCAAGTTTTTTCAAAAAATTTTAAACGAGGATTTAGAGGTTTGAGAGTCATGCATTCTGGTTTAAAGGTCTTTATAGTATAATTTTTGTATTGTATAATTTTTAAAAAGTCATTGCTGTGTTTAAATTCGTCTATGACGTCATTCATACGAATCGTGCTGAGCCCCGATTAATGAAAAGCTTTAAGAGGTTCCGAAAAGATATTTTTCAAGAAATTATAGTTAATGTCTTGTGAACATGTACATTTTAAATCATGTAATTTGTAATCCCATGAAAGACGTTCGATCCTATGATCTTCAAAAAAGCCCGCGTATCTATCAACACAAGAGCAATAACCAAATGAGAGGACAAATGAGCTTCCTTAATTGGTATCAAGAGGTCATTAATTAGTAGCTTTATTGCCGCTGGCAGGAAGGAAAAATTAGAAAAAATTGCGCCATGAGAAATTAGAGGAGTAGGATTATTTTGTTGCTGTATGCATTTAAGATCAAATTAGTGCGAGAAAAACCATTGTGACAAAATTATTAGTGAAAATTGCAACTGAGGTATCTTTCTTCAAGTTAATAGAGTTTCAACCAATTTGGAATTTGTAAGCAACTAGCTATTACAACCTATGCTCTACATAAATACAATAATAAATAAGAGTTTTTGTTTTAAGTACCCTCAGCTTTGAAATAAAAATTATTGAAGGTTAATTGTAGAAGACCTTTGTGCAGCTTTGTGTCACTTTAAAAAATTATTCAACATAAACATTTTATCACTTTTTTTACCATCCTGATCAAAGAAGGTAGCCAGAAGAAAGCTTTGTATAGTTCAACCAAAATTTTTTATATTTAAAAATCAACAGTCCTAGTTTGATCGCTTTAGTAGGGGCGAAAGTAATGTTCATACGCTTTTTTCGAAATATATAATGGCACTAAAGAGATCGCAAAGAAAAATTCATTCGTGCAGGGGCGTTGTGGCGAATGAATTCTAGAGGGGGCCAGAAAGATAGACTTTCCGACAAAATTTCTTTGATTTATTTCAATCAAATAGAAGCATTTCGCGTAAATGTAAGACGGGGGTGGATTAGAAAAACTCATAACTTTTGCCTTAGGTGGAAAGATATTAAAAATGCACTTTTATCTTGTCTCTGTGCTTCAAACTTTTTATAACCTAATGCTTCAAATTCTGCAGAAATTGTATCGACTTCTTCCTTCTTTTACCTTACGCAACGTAACTGCAAAAATCTTCAAATCGGGTTAAAACACAATTTTAAAAAATCTGGTGATAGGCACAAAATTGGCACTGTCCCAGTCTTCAATATCAAACAAAGATATAACTGATGACCAATATTGACCAATTTCCATTTTCAAATTTGGCCCTTGAAGCTTTGAATTTTCTCTGACAAAATCCGAGCAGTAACTCCTCACTTTATGGTTGGAATCGGTAAATTCTGAAAAATCATTTTGATTTGCTGAACTATAGTATTTTCCTTACAAAAGTGAATTGCCCCTCGAAATTACGGTAAGTTTTTTAGTCCAAGTAATTACCCACTGCTTAAGTTTAAGAATTTGCAGACAAAACAATGGTCCCAAAATCCGTCAAATTTTGAAAGCAGAGGGGCCACGGCCCCCACTGTTCCCCGGCCCCGACCCTCGTGCATTCGTGGCGTTTTAACTAACGTAGGGAAAAGCTGGTCAGAACAACAGAGGGCTACCATTAAAACACTGTTTATAAGGGAAACTACGGTGGATTCCCGATAAAATGAACCCCGGATATAACGAACTTCCCGGTATAACGAACTAAATGTCTGGTCTCTTTGATTCTGCCTAACAAACTCCTTACAAATTCTCTCGGTATAACCATAATCAATGTGGTTTTTCTATTGACTATGGTATAACGAACCCCGGATATAACGAACTCTCGTTATTACGAACCAATTTCTAGGTCCCTTCATCATAATTACCCTCGATATAACGAACTTATAAATTTTTCATCTGTTATTTTTGTTTATTTATTTTCGATGTTTATTTACCACTTAATTTGGTGGGAAATCATTTTTAAAATCATCAAAACATGCCGATGATACATTTCAAGCACTGGCTGATAGACTCGAAGCACGAGATGAAAGTTTGATTGCGTCAGAAACCACTGCGAATGAGTACATTGACACTAACGAATACCTTCTTACATATGAGACATTTGCAATGAGCGACGACTAACATTTTTTGAGAGACCCAGATGGAAAAGCAGAAGAAGACAAACAAGAATGTGAAGTAATCGAAGACGTCATTCAGCAGGCAACTAGGAGTGAGGTGATACCAGCTTTGCCAATCTTTTGGTCCCAAATAATAAGAGGAAAAAAAAGATTTCCATCTTAAATGACTAACCATTACAGTATTCTCCCCAATTAAAACACTTTAAAAGGCGGACTCCTCTGATTAGCGAGCTCACACTGCCACGATGTTTATGAATGCACGGCAAGTAGAGGATCAGAAGCAATTTATCCACAGTTGCTTTGAAATTTTTGATTCAATCAAAAACAATTGAATTTTAATCAATCAAATTATATTTGTATGAGTCAAGCGGCGTGACGGGGCAGTGTGGGGACCTTAACATGTGAAGAGAAATTCTGTTGCCTTAGATCTTTTCTATGATCCTTATCTAAGTTTTTCCCGGATTTCCATGCAGCATGATGCGTCTTTAAAAGTGCATTTGAAAACCTGTCTAGAAAGATTAAGATTAACATTTTAAGTTTGTCTCATTGAGGATATCAATTAAATTTTAAATATCTATGATATTTACGTAAATTGAATGAAAAATTTTATAACGATCTAGATGTGCATAAGAGGGAAACCTGATTGGTTTGTATTTCTTCACATCATTGTTATATGGTTGATCACAAATCACATCCAGTCTTTCGCCCATTTCCATGATGCTTTGAATGCTATAAAGAAACATGCTTTCATGAAAAACCCTGCTTTTCGAGAAACCTCTTGGGGTCCTCTACGTGGCCCAAAAGCTTGGGGGCCTTTAGATTTGTGCTTAATGTGCACAAGCACACCGAGCGCTACGCCACTGTATGAGACTCTACATTTGTTGAAGGGTAGGAAGAATTTTGTAAAATAGATGCTTAAGTTGCAGCATAGTTTATACATAGCATAGTTGCAGCCCCACCTGATACAGCCGCATCACATTGGAGCCTCAATGTCAGACGAAAGGATGGAAAACCTTGTTCAAATTAGCATCGATCGAGACATGGCAGATTCAACCATTGCTAGCTACAAAAAACCACACTAAAATTAGGTTTTATTTCTGCCTATGAAAAACCTTTGCCTATAAAATTTACATAAAAATACATCAAACTTGGTTATCAATAACGAGCGCGATTTCTTGTATGGTGCTGCACCGGTTTCTCACCCGGGCCCCTTTATCAGCTCCACCCTTTCATTGTCTACCCCAATATTTTGGGGCTTGCACCGCCCCTGACTGAAGAGAAATTGAACAGGGACTAGTTACGTAACAAATTAAAAAATTCACATCCAGTTAAGCCAGTGGCGGTTTTAAGGGTGGTCCAGGGGGGGGCATGGCCCGAGGCCCCACGCTTATGATAGCCAAAAGGGGCTCCACACCAAAGAAAAAAGACAGGAATTGTAAAGCAAAAGGGCACCGCAGTCTCTGAAACCGCCACTGAGTCAACCCTCTCTTTTCGGTTATAATTTTCCTCGCAGTTACATTCTCTCATAGTTTCAGTTCGTATATTTTGAGGAAATTTGTTGTTTCTAAAAGCGAATTGCTGTTTTTCTTCCTCAGCTAAAAAATTACTTCTTGTGTAAACTTTTCGCGCCAAAAATGAATACGAGGCGATTTCAAAATGATTTGTCGATTGGATTGTTGATGGATGGTTTGTGTATGTCTGGATGTTATGTTAGTGGTGAGAGTATAAGTTTTTGAAGTTAATTGAAGATTTAGCTCATGGAGAACAAAGGAGCTGATGATGTGTCTTGTGAGGTTTCTCCAGTTCGGCGTATGCCCTCCCCTACACTTCCATTAATGGAAAGAATAAACGCAATCCTTGGAAAAAGATCAGAGGCCGTTTCTACAAATGGTAAGACTACCGTAAAGACTTTTTAGATATGATTCTAGATTTTTATATCAGTTTACCAACCACACTCGACCATTATCCCAGCTGCACCAGGGGTGTTGTTCTAGGTCTAACCCCTCCCTGTCAAATGCCGAAAAGGAAGCCAATTATTGCTATTGTTTTTGCAAAATTTCGTGCATGCAAGAACTAGCACTACACCCCTGTCCTGCATGCCCTTGTAATATTTTTAAAAAAAATTTTCTCTCTCTCTTTTTACTTGCTAACGGGCTAAAAACACTTTACATAATGCCAGTAAATTGACTCTGCAAAATATATGATGGATGGATTGACATCTTGAAATATCTACCTCTGGGACTCTCTGTGGGCCATCTGGAAATTATTTTGGATTGACAGAGTTGGTGCGGTTAACGTGTGGTTAAACATATCAATATAGTATTCAAGCAATATCAAATGTCTTTGGATTTAGATGCAATAAATGAACTTCCTTCAAAATGCTCAGAGACTTCGGAACTCCCTTGCCACCCCTGTTACAAGGGAGAATAACATTTTATTTATGAGTAAAGAAAAAAGCACATCAGCAGTGTTGGAAATAAAAGCAAAAATTTATGAAAAGCTACTTTTTACAAATATTATCTGCAGAAGGAGTCATAATGTAGAGATTCCTGGAAAAATGTTGATGTCTTTTCAAAAAAGATATCAAGTATAAATTAAATATTAATCCAGTTACATAACTTTATGATTTCTGTCACTGGTATTCCAGGCCAATGATTTGATTAGATCCTTTGTGTTATATGACAAGTTATATTTAGGTAACTCGATACCTTTATTATGTGTAGAAACCGTGATTAAAATTCACATACATGATTATAATTTGCTCTTAGGATTTTTGCTGCCCTCCAGCAGCCTGAAGGGGCTGTTGGATTTTGCCCCACAGATTGAGACTGAATAGCCAGTCAAACTTCTTGGAATTCAATTAGACTATGAATTCAATTTTAATCATCTCACATCAGAGCTGTGTAGAAAAGCTGCAACCCAGCTTAATTTTCTTGAGAGGCTTTGGTCTTAATATTGGCTTTAACAAGAGAAAAGTTCTCATTCAGAGTTTTGATTATTCAAATTTTTATTATTGTATGGCATTTTTGTTTGGCAAAATCCATGCATAAGATTGAAAAGATATGCACACGCAGGCTAGCTCATATGAAAAGTTTAGCTCGTATAATGACCTTCTGATAAAGTCTCAACAATGCATGTTTTCCAACTTAGATATCTCCCTTTGAAATTTTTAACACTCTGAATGGTCTCAATCTACCCTTCATTAAAAATTTTTTCAAGCTAGATCCTCCAATTATTCATTGCAGAATCCTTATATTCTAACTCATTATAGGCCAAATCAGGTTGCTTTAGGCAACAACAGTCTCAAGTTTTTAGGACCACAGATTTGGAACTGCTTGCCAAATGAACTAAATCATAAGACAACCTCAATGCACGTCTGGCCGTTTGAGGAATGCAATCACCAACATGGTCCTCAGTGCCCTCCTAGATTGCTCAAGAAGGGAGGTCAATCTCCCTCCACTCTACCAACTTTAACATTAAATGCCTGTCTCAGATTTTTATTTACATTTTAAGCTCAACACATTTGTCACATCTTAAGTTTCTATTTATTTGGGGAATGATAGCATGTTTATGTTAATTACATTAGAAATACCGGGTATCAAATTACAGGCATCAATGTTAAGACAGATACTTTATTTGTTCATGGTTTTTCAAGCCCCTGTCTACTTTTATTCAAATATTTCAAAAATTTATCAAATAATTTTTTCTATTCTAAAAAAACCTGTTCATTTGTTAACATCTTTTAAACATTGAAAATAAATGCAAAGTTTATGCACATTTTAATTTGGCTTGACCGCTAGCAATATCAGTGACATTTGGTTGTTTGATGAAACTAGAGAAAATACCAGGCCATTATGTCTTTTTAAGAAGACTACCTTGAAGACAGAACAGAACATCATGTCATTCAACCAATGACATAACTAAAACAAAACATAACATCATGGCAATTTTACTTTGGTCTGCTTCGTTAATGTCCAAGCAGGAATGTTCATGCTGAAACCAAACAAGATAAGTGTTTTCAAGTTTCACTTTCCCCCCTCTTTCCACACTGAGGTGTGTTAACAGTGTTTTCATAAAGTCCACAATGGAAGGATTTTTCAGAAGATGTTTGAGAAGAGAGCAATTTACTACTCATCTACCAAAATTCTCACAGCCAGGCCACTCAACGTGTTCCAATGCTTGATAACTCAATGTGAAGGTCCCACATGCAACCGAAATGCATGTTGTTTTATTGTGAATAATGTACAAACCATATAGATAAAGATAATTATACAGTTTTTTAAATTTTACTTTAGCCAATGTATCCATCTATTTAAATTAGTTTACTTGTACATTTTTTTGCAGAATGACTATTTATAATTGATGTAAAATAAATATGCACCAACAACATTTGTAATTGATAGATCAAGAGAGGTTATTGATAGTAATAATTTTTTCCTTGGTTATCTCCCATACTCAGTCCAGTTAATATGCTTTGTTTCTAAAACTATATTGATGTTAGTAAATTTTTTCATACAATTTAGACCAAAGTAGAGGATTTGAAACAGAAACAGACAGTGATGGAAGTTCTGATATGGATCAACATGAAAGCTTACCAAAGTTCATTGAGGAACACAAGAAATATAACTATATTACAGAAAAGTTTTCCAAGAAAAGTGAGAGTGTAGACTGTGTTTTGGAGAGTGTGCTGCCTGACAGTATTCAGCATACAAGTAAAACAGAAAGAATTGCTATTTCTCTGTTGCCTGATGATATAAGTGGAGATGACCCTAATATCAATGATATTGAATTTCCCCTTCCTTCTACAAGAACTCAACTGTACAGTAAAATATGCAACAATTTTAAAAAACAAAATATTAAAGAAATGAATTTTTGTGAGGTAACTAAACCTTCCCTGACTGTTGAAGAAGACCTTGAGGTAAGTTTTCCATAGGTATAGTATAGGAAAGTTTGTATCATCTATATAAGCAGCCCAAATAATAAATCTTTATTAGCAAGTGATATGTTTGTTGGTTGATAACTATTGACATATTAGTTTGCTGATAAATAAAGTATTGCTTATAATGGTGTCAATGTCTGAAAAGATTTCAAAACGCTTTGTGATGATGTCATCTGTATGACGTGTTGTGCATATCAAGTTTTTGTATGCATTTGAAGACAAGCATAAATGTGGGCAGTGTAAAAACTTAGAAAGTTTGATCAAGTATGTTTGTTATAAGTTTAAGGCTGTCCTTTCAGACTAAACTTTTCTTATCTTTTATAATATAATAAAGTATGCATTAGAGATGTTTTTCTAAGCAATGAGTTTGAGTTTCATTAAACCAGCCTTGTTAACTTAAATTCAGATGCCACTATATAATTGAAGTGAAAGAACCCATGATGAAAATTGTCACCATTGACCCGTCAATCAAATTTTGATCATAGACTTTTCATTTTGCTAAACTATATATTCACTAGCATGACTCTAATTTTCCAGGTTCTCTCAAGCCATTTCATCAAGTATAAAAACAAGTTAAAAAAATCTTTAAGCATGTGCACACTCGAGATCGGTGACAGATTGGAGTGATTGGTATTGTCATCAATTAGATATTAAACATTGTTTGCAAATTTTCAGACCCGGTTCCTACCTTTAAAATAATGCCTCATGTTTTCTTCAAAGACCTTAAAGTTTCGAGAGAAAAAGCAAGTTTTCTGAGTTTTGAATATTGTCGAATGTAGCAAATAAAATATTTTGGAGATAATTTGCATCACAAGAAGCATTGATAACTATATCCAAAACCAAGCTTTTTTTCTTGTAGAAACCAATCAATGCAAATGTATCCGCAGAAAACAGAATTGCTAAGGATGCTGGAAAGGAGCTAAAAAGGAAAACAAAGGAATCTGCTAAAATAGCTAAAGAGACAGCAAAAGAAGAAGAGAAGAGAAGGAGACTTGAGGAAAAGGAAGAAAAGAAGAGAAAACAAGAGCAGGATAAAAACGCCAAAAGGGTAAGTTGCCATAGCTGCTATACCAAGATATTCTATTTGCAATTCCAATTTTGTGTTCAAAGTATCCATCATTTAACAGAATTCAGCATAGTTTGCTTTAATAGCTATTTATGGCATGTTGTTGGGTTAACTAACTTATTTATCAAAGTGTGATTAATTGCATAATTAGTTATGTTCTAGAGAGCTTGTATATTTCTGTAAATTTGTTTCTTTAGGCTGAGTCTATGACTGCAAAGGCAAACTCCATTGACCAATGTTTAAAGGTAGGCTTTATGGCTTGAATTTGCAACAAGCATATATGATAACTATAAAGAGACAAATGCATCAAAAAGTCTAAAGGATAAGATTTTGATTGGTCAGTTTTTACAATAAAGTAGCAGCATTCATTCCAGCTGATATTTCCCCACATAGCTGTATTTCTCAGATAGTTCCTAAAAATGCACCAATCCTAGCCAATCTTCGCTATCACTTTCTCACGGCCCCTAATGATTCTTGAACTATGCTCCCTTATATTTTGTAAGACAAAGAAAGCCATTTCGCAAAGTTTATTGTTTTCAAAATTTATTTTTCCCCTGACCCCCTCCCCCCCATTTTTCCAACAGTGTTGTTTGAATACTGATCTTGTACTTTCTGGCCTTTATCTCTATCAAAACCTGTGTCATTTTCAGCATATTACAACCGTTCTTGATTCGACGGTTTTAAGCGATGGTGGCAGTGCTATTCTCCAAGCTCTAGAGACTGCTGGCGTCCAGTTCGAAGTTAAAAGAATGCCAGTAGACTCTTCAATTGGCTGGATGCGTAATCAAGTCGAATACACAGCTGAAGAAAACGGACAGGTAATCTGTACAAGGCAGATAACTTTGCGCATTCAACATGAATAGATAGCAATGATAAAAGAATCTCGCGAGTTGGTAGAAAATAATTTTGAAATGGAACGTTCATACCATTTGTTCCATTGGACAGCGTCACATTTTTTATGTTTGTTGATGAAATTTCCAAAGCAACCTAATTTCACTACAAACTTTTTATAAAGTTCCTGGCTAATTACAGATCGACTCGACGTACCCTAGACAGTTGACTTCAATTCTTCCCACAGTTATCATTTTAAGATAAAACGTAGACCAGAATATCAGTCGCATACTCTACCCTTCCAATATCAATGTTATATTGTTCCCATATCGACATTATATTACTGGTTTTACACAATCAGTAACACTTTGATCCCTGTTAAATGCTTATTTCAATTTGTCTGGTTTTAGGTAATGAATTGGTTACAATGTTTTTTGCAAAGTCTCCCCGCCCCTGGCTGTGATATTGAGCCGACAAAAGGAAACGTAGACATTAGACAGCGGGATGACGAACATTTGAGGCCTTTTTACGTTTTATATTATCTTCATAAGAATTTGGGAGATACCATCGAACCCAATCTATCGTCTGTCATCCATTTATGCTCTAACTGATAAAGGTATCAGGATACCCCGAGAACATTTTTTCTGTCACAGAGGGAGGCAAAGCGTGACAGAGCAAAAATGGTAGAATGACTAGTGGATAAGGACGCCTGCGCCCGGGGGCAGCGAGGGCAGTGGCCCTCCTTGCTCTCACAAAATTGAGCATTTTTCTTCTTTTTGCTATTATTTTACCCTTTTTCTTGGTGCTTTTCCCCCGTTGCTCTCTTTGATTGCAGGCTTCCCTGGGAATAACCGCAAAAAGGCGGACCAAATACCGAAATCATTTGGGGACTAAATTTCCGCAGGCCTTCTTTTTCTGCTTGCGTAGATTTTAGTCTTTCTGATTATCACCTTTTGTACCAGTACCTTTTTCTTTTATAGTAATTACAATTGCTTTTTAAGATCAAAAGAAAAGACAGTTATGAAGAAGAAGATCAAGTTTTAATGAAAATAAAAGCTGAGAGCCTTGCAGAAATGATTGATGTAGAGAAAAAGGTATGAATGAATTGTCTCTCTTCTCGCCTCTACAGGCCCGTACACTCTGTTACAAGCCTACGAGATAACTGGCACTTGCAAGTGGGGGAAAATGACATGGGACAAAAAGCTGTAAAGCCTCGCAAATGAATGTTTAGGCGTATTCTCTACACATTCCGACGATTTGCAGATTTCCCTTGGGCTCTTTTTATCTAATGCAACCTTGCCATCGAATTGCTAAGAAATTGTTAATTTCATCGAACTTGAAACTGTATAGACAGTTCTCAAGTCTTCGAGAATACCCAAAGTTCATTAAGTGAGAATGGTCTATTAATGTTTCAAAAACTGCAGTCCCTTATACGAGCCCATTGAAAAGTTCCAGCAAGAGTTAGCCTCTAGATATCTCAAGTAATCTCAACACAAAACTTGATATGGTTATGGACAAAGTTGTAAATGGCAGACAAGACGTACGCTGAAATGATAATGTTCAAATTTCAATCCGTATCCATAGATTACCATGGTTGTATCTACCATCACAAAAAGGCTAGCAAACAGGCCTAAGTAAGGGCTAAACCAAGGTGGTTGTATTTGGTAGGCAAGATACTGATGCAGAATTGGTCCTTTCATTGAGGATTATGCGCATTGCATCGTGGTCATTCCTGCAGTGAGGAGATCAAAGAAGTCTTTTCAATACATATGGAGCATTTGGTAGACTTAACAAGCTATTGAACGGGAGAGCAGGCAAAGCAGATTGTTCGGGTCCTAAGGACCTTCGTTTTCAGTATTTTACTTTTCGTCGCCGAAACGTGTACACCATGAGCATCAAGATAATTAGCATCAGAAAGTTAATAAATACCACGGATTCTTCGATTGAAAAGTCAGACAAAGTATTGGTAAAAATGAGAACATGGTACAGATAATTACTCGCAGGAAACTATTATTATGTAAGCAGACTCGTTAAGAGAGCATATTACTTGACAATAGACGGTGACAACTACTGCGTCAAGAATACTGTCAGTCAACAAGCATATGTTTTTGAATAACATAAGAAAGGCAATATTTTGCAATTTGTAAAAGCGCTGGAAATTCGATTTATGGGATGACGACAAAAGATTGTGAAGAAAAGAGTTAAGACAAAATGGGGACCCAAATTTAACTTAGAAGTAAGCGAGTTGGACTTAAGTAAGCTCGTTTTCTCTTTGTTTTGCAAATACAGCGGAATTTCAAAGCAAATTATTTATTATTTTATCACTGCAATTATTATAAAACCATTTGTTACGTCGTCTTTTTGTTGAGATTTTTATATATGCTCACTTTTTGACTGAGACCGTGTCGTTTTCTTTTCTATTCAACCGTTTTAGAATGGCTGTCCTGACTCATTTTAATGCAAATAAGAGATCAATCTTTATCAACATCTTTTTCACAATCAAAGATTTCCTGAGCAGCATAAAAACGTTCTCTTCACAAAACATCTCTGTTTTCTTTCAATTTCTGCTACCAATCAAGCATTATGGGATCCCCTTTATAAATAGATTGAACAAGTCTAGACATTCATGTATTGTCAGGATAAAGGACAGAAACGTTTTTCGAATGTGATAATTTTCCGTTCTAAGTACCTCAACCGGAGCAAAGCGCCCAAAAACAGAACAGTTCTAGGCTAAACAGTTATATAACTCGTAGCGCGTCATCTGTCTTATGTAGCTTATCAAAACCAGAGATGACTATACGAGTAACCTTCAAAGGTCATGATAACTTGGGCATGTGCTCACCGAGTTATGCAAGTCAACAGGAGAGACGATGGAACAAAAGAAAGAGACACGTGAATTGACGGATAGAAAAAGATTACTTAAATGGTTTTTTATCCTGAAGATTTACATTCTGACTCTGATAAGAATTCTGATACGAAATGAATAAGAACAAAGGATTGATAAACCTGTTGACATTCTGCAAAATGTCAAACTTGATTGCTAATATCCAAAGATTATTTGAAATTTTATAGAGCCAGACTTCAGCGGTTAATGTGATGGTTAGTTAAAAATAAAAGTGTGTGTTGTCTCCAGTTTTTTAACATATACAACGAAATGATTTTTAAAGAATATCAAGGTCTTCCTGAAATTTCCATAGTTGGCCAGATTTTCCATAATCTGAGATGTGCTTGTGACATTTTTTTGCTTACAAACTTGATAATTTGCAGAGGATTGCTGATAATGCTTTTCTCAAAAGCGAAATAAATGCTTCTTTATCAATTGCAAAAGGATGGAAATATAATATAAGAGTATACTTAGATAACGATGTACCTGAGTGTAGGATAAATATTTATGACCACCAAGTCACCCACGTTGATTTGTTTAAAAACTTAGGAAGCAGGAAGGACTTGTATGACTTTAGATGTCTTTATAGAAACCAAGAGCACACTGTATATCCTAGACAGGGTATGGCACCAGAAGAAAGATAAGAAAAAAAAGAAGGAAAAAGAAAGAAGATGAATCAAAAGAAAAGAGAAGGAAGAGAAGTAGAAAAATACAAGACGAAGAAAAGGCAGAGAAGTAGGAAAGAATGAGAAGTGGTAGAACAGAAAGGAAATGAAGAAGAATGAAAAGCAAAACGGTAGAAGCAAAATAAGAAGAAAGAAAGAGGTGAGACGACCGCAGAATAAAGCAGGATGAAAGAAGAGAAAGAAAGAAGCAGAAGAGTAAGAAGAAAAGACCCAAAAAGTTGAAATGGCAAAAAATAGAAGAAGATATAGATGAGTAAAAAAGGGAGAGAAGCAGAAAAAAGAGAATGAAAACAAAGAAAGCAGAGAAGTAGATGAAAATAAAAGAATAAGAAGTCAAAGGAAGCAGAAGAAAAGTTAGAATGTTATGAAGATGAAAAGGAAGAAAATTTAGGAAGGGAGGAAGCACAGGAAAAAAACGAGAAGAACGAGAGAAAAAAAGCACAAAAGAAGCTGCAGATATAGTAAAAACAAAGCAAAGGAATAGAAGGAAGAATAGGCAGACGAAAGAAGAAGATTGTTATGATAAAAAGTAAAGGAAAAAGAATGAGCAGAAAAGGGGAATAAGGAGTAAAAAAAGTTAGAAGATCAGGAAAAAGAGGTGGAACAAAAAGTATAAAAAGAACATAGGACAGAAGGAGAAGATTAAGAACAAAAATTAGCAGGATATCTATGACCTAACATGTGCTTAAAGAGATCAAAAAGTATTCCCAAGACAGAACATGTAGCAGAAAGAAGAGCAAGAATTCAAAGAAGAAGAAAATTTAGAAGAAGATGAAAAAGATTAATAAAGGGAATGATGAAGTAATAGTGGAAGAGTAAGAATAACAAGAGAATGTTGGAGGAGAAGAAAGAAAAGAAAAATAGAAAGAATAGAAGCAAAAGAAAGAAGAAGCAAACATGAAGAGGAAGAAGAAGAAATATAGATTGAAGAAGAAGACAAAAATGAGACAAAGTGGAAACGTCGATCAAGGTGTGACATGGCAAACGCAATAATCCCGGTTTGACATTGAATTAGGCTGCGTTAGACAAAGAGGAAACGTTGAGCAAGGTGTGACATGGCAAACGCAATAATCCCGGTTTTAAAAAAGAGATGCGACGGAAATTCGAAAGTAGCCAAAGCTGTAAATAGCAAACTCCCATTGATAACTGGCATCGGATTGGTGATTGAAGCTTCTCACTGTCATAACCGAAGAATCATCATGTTACATTTTGATTCTTCGGGTATGGCGGCAGTTGAATTATTGTTTTATTTTATGACTACATTTGTAGAAGAGTTCTTTAATGCTGACTTCATAAAAATCTAATTTTTGAATTTTTGAATTTAGATCTGCTAACCTGACAGAGCATCATGAATACCTATAAAAAGTGCAAAATCAGATTAAATTTGTTCCAAGTTGGCTCAGGTACGGCCACATGAGCAAAAGCACTTCACCCATTATGCTAAATAACTTTATGAACTGTGCCAAAATAGCAGTAATTTGTTAGCAAACTTCAAATCTTTTCTTAACAAAATCTCACCCCATTTTGACATATTCAACTGACTTTTCATATTAAGAAGTATTTCACTGTGTTCTTTTAGTTTGTATCGTTAATCTTTAATATGTAAAACTCTAGAGTGGAAATGAACGCTCAGGAAATGGCATTCTATCTTGTGTTTCGAACGCTGAAATACTTCTTCCTGGCAAGAAAATAACAATCATTTTCACTGGCCTGGAAACGTATTTGAAGTAAGTTGGCAAACACTTCTTTCCAGTCTTAAAAGTAAAACTTCGAGTTTTCCCAGTAGTCTGCGTATCACCGATGATGTCGTTGTTAATTTTTAGCAAATATTAAATTGTAATTGAGACCTTGTAAATCTACAAAAATCACAGGGAAAGCATCTTGAATTTAAGTTGGAAGAAGAGCAAAAGAGTTTTGTTTCCAGTAACTAACAATATGCGTTACAAGAAAGGTGATGCACAGATGGTAATAAAATATTAGTATGTTCCTTGTCAGACCAACTTCGTCCTTAATAATGGCTTGATCATCGCTAATAACTTTGAAGATAAACTGGTCATCAACTGTTTTATCATCATCATCTATTGTACACTGTTATATGATGTGTCTAATTTCCGCTGTTTTATTGGTAAATTTCTGTAATTAGCACTATAATGAAGCAATTATGTTGTGCTGGAAAGGGGCCATCTTTTATTTCTGACGGATTACGAGGAGAAATACTTCTCTCCTGTCATGCACCAAAAAAGTCATGTCTACTGGAGTCCTCTCCTAATAGCCGGTTCCTTTTCAAAGACTAGGTAATAAAACAATAATTCGCGAATCGATGCCAGTTGCTTTTTCCTATCTGTCTGGTTTATTACAATTTATTTGAATTACATTTCATTTAGTAGGCGGCGCCTTTAAGAAGACAGCTGCCACCAAGAAATAAACCACTAGGCTGTCATCTTACTCGTGTTTTTCTTTCAAAAATGCTCTATTTGTCAGTAATAAGTGATTTTTGACAATTTACCTGACAAAGATGTTTTCTTCAAACCTTGAATGTCTCTCGAAATGTGGCTAACGACGGTGAACGTATTGTGCAGAGATGCAAGCCCGCGTAGAAGCGCAGGTCCACGCAGAAACGCGTATGACACAGCAATGGTAAATGCTCCACACTGTCAATGAAAGTCATTCTCCATGCAAACAATCAATACACTGAAATAGCATTTGTGTTTTGCCATCTTTGACATGAATCTACACAAACTATCTAAAGCATATCTAAATGCTTCGACATTTTGCTATATATTGTATTGTATATATATTATATTATATATATATTCATATACTTATACTTAGAATTTTCGCCAGTGGTTTGTTAGTGGAGGGTGTCTTTGTTTCAAAGCGTCCAATTGAATGTGGTTTTTCCATTTTAAGGATAGTGAAAGCAAAATCTACTTTGAAAAGAAAACAGCCCTCAATGCCATGTATAACTAAAACAGATCTGGAAGATACTTTGCTGCAATTGCAGTTACAGTACAACTGTTGTGTCCATTTTTGTGAACAAGCTGAAGATTTTGCACAATTCGTTTGCGCCTTCACAAAGTCGATCGCCGAGAGACCCCATAAGTATACCCTTATTCAGCTAAACATTTCATTTCGCTTTTTATATGACGTCATTGTATGATTTTTTTACTAAAGAATCAACTGTGTGATTAAGATTTCACCTTTTTTATTTTCTCGGGATATTGTTGACAGTTCAAATATCCTTGGTCAAATTGTTAAGCAGTTCAGTGTTTTTCAACCTTTTCCAGCCATACTAGAAAACAAAATTACCCTTCCCTGTTTTTTTTTACTTTCTCCGTCCTACTGGATCTTATGAAAATCGCCCTGCTTACTAATTTTTTAGATTTTAGTTGGCGTGGGTGCGAAAAAGCAATTGTTTCCACAAATGGATTTTTGAATTAACAATATTATGCAGTGCCCAAATATACATTAAGAACTAATAGTTTTTTGATGAATCATTTTATATCATATGCCTAGCGTATTTCCAAGCACTGCCCTGGTGTCCTGTAGCTCAGTTCCTTTTCTTATAACAACTGAAAGGCATAAATTCTAATTTTTCAGATAGACACCTCAGATATCTTATCAAGTTAAGTTTTGATTAAAAGTCAAAGAAATTCCCATTTTCATTTTGTTGATTGTAATTTTCCAGTGAGCTTAACTAAGTTGGTTTCTTTTGCGTTTAATGCGACACATACAAATTTAGCTAGAAATTTCCCTTTTGTGAGCATATTTTGTTCTTGCGAATTTTTTTGGATCCAAGCAAGTTTGTTCACTTGATGTGTAACTGCATGTACAAATTTGTATTCTTATCAAAACAAAAAATAGAAACCTGGATGAGTTATGAATAGCCAACAATTTAGACTTAATGTATATTAACGTTGCAATTTTAGGAAAACAAGCGGAGTAGCTTTTGATGTTTATATGAACAGCCACGAAAAGGGTTTGCCCCGGGTAAGTCGTGTTTTTGATTACCATTTCTACTTTTTAAGCATGTATGGAAATTATTCATCTCATGTTGAATCGTAACTTGATCGCTATTATTATTATCATTATCATTATCATGCTGATCTTATTTATTATTATTATCATTATTATTATTTTTATTATTATTTTTATTATTATTATTATTTTTATTATTATTATTATTAAAGCATGCCTCAGAATATTTTCAATTTCACCATAAGGTACCTAAACAATACCCTTGCTACACAGAAAAACTTGAAAAAGTGGAACTTGAGCCAGACTTCTGACTGTTCTTTCTGTTTTCTGCCAGAAACCCTCCTTCACGTTGTTGCTGGCTGCAAAACATACCTGGAACAAGGCCGATACACCTGGCGTCATAACTCTATCTTAAACTTTCTAGCTACGTCTCTTAAAGCTGTTAATGAATCTACCATCTACGCTGATATACCTGGCTATCTTTCACCATCAATCATAACTGGAGAAAACCTTCGCCCAGATCTTCTCTTGAAGACTAACAACAATTACCTATACATCTTAGAGCTTACTTGGTTTTGAATCCAATCTTGACACAAATGCAACAAGAAAACACAGCAAGTATGCTCCTCTCCTATCTGACTTACAGCGAAAGTTCAAATGTGTCTCTTTTGTGAATCTTTCTATGAGCTCTCTTGGCATCTTTGGCAATTCCTGCATCTCCTTCTTCAAAATGTGTGACTCTCTCTCCATCGATCAACAACAAAAACGGTATCTCATCTCTAAACTTTCCAACATTGCTATCCGTACTACGTACTACATATTTTGTTGCAAAAATAAACCATGGACAAATCCGGAATTAAATCCGTTTTAATTTTGGTTGTTTCATTTTTCTCAGTTATTCCTTTTATCTTACGATTGTTATAGTTTTTCTTCTTCTTGTAAAACCAGGCTAGCCAATTGCAAATTACCTTGTAATAGTGAGATTTGTAATTGTAGTTTAAGTTGAATTCAAAATGAAAAATTTACATTATTGTTATTGTTACAAGCCATCGAAGAGTCAACTCTTAATGCTGCTCTCAATACATTCTTCTCTCCTTCTGTCGTCACTGGAGAACAATTCTGTCCTGACTTGCCTTTGATCACTAAAGTCAAAAGCCTCTTTATCCTTGAACTTACTGTTGGTTTCGAAACGAATCTCGATAACGATGTAGAGAGAAAAAGGCTCAAGTATCGTTCATTAATATCTGACATGTCTTCTTCATAAAAATGCGTCACCTTTGTCAACCTTTCTATCGGTTCACTTGGTATTTTTGGCCAAGCATCAACTTCTTTCCTCGAAATGTGTGACATGCTTAATCTTGATCAACAACACACACTTAATGATACGTAAACTGTCAAACATCATCATTAGATCTACCTACTACATCTTTTGCCGGCGTAAGAAAACATGGAACAACCCAAAGCTTATATCTTTTAAACGAATATCTTGTTATTCTCTATTGTATATCTTTCTGTTGTTATGACTACGTGTAACATTCACTCAACTTATGTAACAGGCAAGCCATTTACAAAGTACCTTATCTTGTGCGCTTTGTAACTGTAATGTTTAAGAATTTAAAATGAAAATGTTTCCATTATTATTATTAAGAGACTGGATAGCAATATTTAAAGAAAGGCAGAAGATTGTAATCTCTCCATTAGAGTTGTCAAGTGATGACGTCACAAAAATCTATTTTTAAAATTTTTGAAATTTTTTCCAATAATCTGAAAGAGCTTCATGAAATACCTCTAAATCTGCAAAATCAGTTAAAGGTACTACGAATTGGCTGAGGCATGACCAGATGAACACAAGCTCTGGCCCCATCAAACCTCTGTAATTTGGACTCAGTGCATCACTTTATGAACTGAGCCAAAATAACAGTAACCCGATAGCAAGCTTAAAATCTTCAATGGGACATAGTTTATGCCACGTGAGCCTATTTGAAATTCTGTGATTAGACGAGGTAACCTCGAAATATGAAAATTTACCATCTTCTCTCTGAAATGGTTGTGTTTTATTTCAAACTTTTCTTGGGGGATTTCGTTGGGTCTTTTCACTGACTGGGCATTAAGAGTTTTAGAAATAAAGCAAAAACGAGTTTGAATTAAGTATGCATGGGCTTTTGCTTTCAGCTTGGGCTTTCGAAAATTGTGATAGCTGCTAGTACTTTTCTAGACAATGGTTAAAAGCCTTGGCTACGTCTGCAATAAAATTTTTCACTTTTTTAAGAAACTGCAGTCAACCAAGTACCACCAACGGTTCACTATGCCTGAGTTGAATATTGTATATGGCAAAATCATCATTCCTATATTCAGCGTGTCGTCCAACAGCGTGTCGTCTTAAATCCATTTTTTGCTAAATGTTGGTTTTTTGCTAAAGTATCAGTTATCTCCGCGTACCCACTTTGAAATTGAGGAGGTTGTTTCACAAATATTTATAGGCATCATTGCATGCATAAGCTTATAAAGGGGGATTCGAAATGGGTGCTACCTAGTTGTAAATACTGTATTTGGTAGGAATCGATTAAAAATTATAGATTTAAACAACACTTTCACGTAAAAGTTTCGACGAAATGTCTTGATGACCAATTGTCATTGAAAGTTTGGACGAATGGCTGGATACATAAATATAAATGATTAAATATGAAAATAACTCTTAACCGGTCTGCCATATAGTGGTCGATACCGTATACGCTGCACATTATTGTATCTTAGATTTTATGTTTTCATGTTGAAGGTCACGAAAGACGGACTGGGCCTCCTTGATGTTTGGGTAAGACAGCTACAGCAGTTTAAAGGTGTTGGCTATGAAACGGCCGCTGCCATTGCTCAAAAATATCCATCGCCATTACTTCTTTTTAAGGTTTGTAGGATTTGACAAATAAAAATTTTGCATGAAAGGAAAATCTTCTCCCTAACTTTCTTAGAAAACCCTAACTTTCGGATTTCTTAGAAAACCAATCAGCTACGCAAGCGACTACTGAATATGTTGGCCTGAAGTGTTGTGTGCGATTTTAGGGTTGAAATTTGCGATCTTCTTTCCAATCGCTGTTTTAAAACTTTAACGTGATTCTAATTGTAGCTGGAAGTTTTCCAAGTGCCATAGGAAAGTCCGTGTGCATGAAATTACCTTAATTGAAAGTTTTCTCCTATCTTGTTCACGAAAACAAACATTTTCTACGAAAGATGAGACGCCGGAAAACCAGATATAAATACAGAAAAGAATGAGAAATTGTTATTACCATTTATATTCTGAAATTCTGAAACCGATCAAAGTTGTCGAACGGAAAATTCACACTAAACAAAAACGAACGGAAAACTTTGGTTCCGTGCCTGAAAAAGTGACGATAGGCCTTGCGTTTACACTAGGCATCTTGGTTCTGTTCATCTTTGGTATCGCCAAAATGCGAAACACTTTGGTTTTCTCTAGTGTAAACCTTTAGGAACAGAACTTTTTGGTTATGATTGAAAACGGGGCTTAATCTAGTGTTGGGACGAGGATTTCTTTAAGTGTCAGGCGTCATTGCCGCGCCACTGCGCGTGTTTCGCATGAAAGTTCCGTTCTTTTTTACTCAAACACAGAATTGAGACTTATATGTAAACGGGCTCAAATTTTGTTCCGTTTCCAATTATTTCATTCATTCGAAATGCTCAAGAACGAACCCTTTGGTAATTTTTTCAGGAATCAGGGAATCGTAATTCGTTCGTAGAATACTTTTCTTGTTAAAATTGCGAAACACAGGACCCAATAACCCATAACCCCTGTCCAATAGACCACGTATACAAGTTCTAAAAAGTGTTTTCTCGTGACCGATAAACTTTCAATTTCCAGACAGTTTGGTGCAGAGAAATCGGTCATTATAACGATAAAACATTTGTAGAGTCATAAATTTCTTTGCTCGTTGAGTCTTTTTTGCTGAATCATTTACTGTAAATCGCCGAATACAACCAACCACAGGCTATGTTAAGGTGTTAAATTCCCTTGGTTTCTCTGAACTTGCTTTTCCTGAACTTTCAGATCGATCTTCCCTCTTTTACATTTGTTCAGCGTTAAAGGAATGTGACATCTGGATAAATAATTATTCGAGGGTCTCAACCCAAAAACCCCTGGTGTGCAAATCTATTTTTTCTTCAAAGTTTATATATTGCATCATTTTCCCATGTTCAGGAGTACCAAAGAGCCTCTTCTGAGTTGGGAGCAAGCTTGCTTTTACAGGATATTGAGGTAACCGCTTACATATTTCAATGTCAAATCATTGTTATTGTTTGAAAAAGGTGGTACATATTTTCGTTGGTTTGATGTCAGAGATCACATGATTGGTAAAACAATAATTTACTAGACTTTAGTTTCTTGGCTGTGAATCTTCAGATTCCTGGAAACCAAAAACTTAACAATGATGTAATGATATATTCAAAGACCTGCTTCTGGGAAATCAAACCCTTTGATTTGACTGTTCTCCTTCATCTAAGATTGTTATATAAAGATATAATATCTTTCTCTGAGGATTCCCTGAGGGGTTTTGCACCCTGCCAACTTTTTTGCACAAAATATATCGCATTTTGAACATTGTGTTCATTTCAATTATATAGATTTCTATTGATCTAAGAGCTTCAATGTCTATTTAATCATAGGTCAGAAGAGGTCATGGTGTTCTGGCCACATCTCGAAGAGTTGGACCAGAGCTATCAAAAAAGATTTACACCTTATTAATGTCTATTTGTGGTACTGCTGAACTTGCAAAGTCATAATGCTCACAGTCCCATGACCAAAATAGTTTTAAAAAATAATGTATCAAATAGTTTTATCATATAATTATTCCTTTTAAGCAACATTCAGGCAAATGAACACCCAATAAATGATAAGACATTAATTTTATTCACTGTTAGATAAAACACATTTTGCTATCCTTAGAAAGTTTTGCAAAGGAATTTTAAATATATCCTCTCCTAGATTATGGTTTCCCTCATTTTCTGAGTTTTTTCCTGATGGGTTAGAAATGAGTATTTTTATTCTTAACAGTTTCCTGAAACGCATATACACTGTTGATTTCATCAAAGTTATAAAATTTAACTAGTTTTGGTTTTGTAAATATGTTCTTATTTTGGTTCCCAATAATGTTAAAGAGTACATAAAAAGCCACATTACCTCTGTCCCTGTTTCATATTTACAACTGGTAAAACCAATAATAAAGTCTAATAAATAAGTCTTTGGCTATTTGTATCAAGAAGTTCTTTAAGTATGAAAAAGAGTCCTTTAATTCACTTTTTGATTGCATATAACCTCATTTGCTCCTCCATGTCATCATATGAGTCAATTCCATACTGATTCTGGGATGACTGCATCAATTGAAATATTTCTTGAAGTTGCTGTTTTTTTACTCTGAAATCATAAGATATATTTTACTGGGACTATGATGGATTTTTGGTTGAGAATACTAGAGTAAGGTGTGTTGTTTCTTAGCATGTCTTACCCTTGGTTGAACTGGGGTATCTATGGGCTCGACATAGCATGATTCTTACTTCGCTTTGTAAGGCCTTGAGAGTGCTGTTCATTCTTTACCAGCCAAGCCACCTTCATTTTGTTTCCTTATACAAAATTCGCTTTTTTGTAGATCCCTGACACTTTTAGTCTCTTTTTCCAGCATCATGAAAACTTCTCATACCTTTGAGCAACTGTCATGCTATTGCTGTTTTATTGGTTCTAGGTAGGACTGGTGCATCAGCTACCTTTCTTGTCCATTCCTTCCCCACTATCATTTATATTTGGGGGTTTTGTGTAACTTCACTTAGTTATCGTAATATGTACCACTCTCCTGTTAAAGGGAAAAGTAGGTGAGTGATTTGTGCTGATGCACAACTTGCTCTTGACAATGTGGGAATGTAGCCTCATTAATTACTTCCTGATGTCTAAGGTAAGTTTTCTCTAAGGTAGCATCTCTGCTCTAAAACTTGCATTGAAACTTCTGTCCCCAGTGAGAAGATTAACATTTACTTTTGTGAACTTTCAGGAAAAGGAAAATTTACAGATAAACTAGATGGTGCCATTCTATTTATGAAAAGGTGACATTACCAATCAATTAATGCTCTAGCAGACCAAATCAGGCAAGAGCAGGTTGTTGCACCCCCTACCCCCAGCAGATACACCCCTGATTATAAAATTACCACATTACACATGTTTTTGGATAAAGAAAGCCTGATATATTTCAGTAACAAAACTGCATTTGAGGGTGCTCTGGGATAAAGTAGATGTCATATCAGATATATCAGATTTCATCACTTTTTTGTCAATAAAAAGATGCTAAATGACAATTCTCTTTTGGCTAAATCAGGTTGCTTTCTGCAACAACAGTCTCAAGTTCTCAGGACCACAGCTCTGGAGCTGCTTGCCAAATAATCTAAAATCGTCAGACAACCTAGACACGTTCAAATGTGTGATAAAACAATGGGATGGTCCTACGTGCAACTGCAATACCTGTCATTTTATTGTAAATAATGTACAAACCATGTACAAAATTACATATAAGATTATTTAAACTTTACTTTAACCAACGTATCCTATTTAGCCAACATATTTTAAATTTACTTAGCCATGGATTTAGATAAGTTTACTTGTACATTTGTATTTTGTAAACTAACTTGTGTAATCAATGTAAAATAAATATGTAACAACATAACAATCATCAGATTATTTGGTTAGTACTCAAGTTCTCTTAGCAAAACCATTTTCACATGCTACCTGTTATTTCCTAGGCTAGATGCCCTTCTGCAGAGCTTCAAAGCAGCAGAATTTCAAAATTGAAAAAAACCCTTTCTCCTCTGTTTTCTGCATTTTGTTAATGGTAAGACACATTAGTGCCAAAACTCACTATAAAAGCAAGGTTTTATTCTGCCTTTTGAGATTGCCATCTTAGCTAATTATCTTTCAAGTATTAAAGCCTTTTCATGTATCATATTAACTTTACTATAGAAGCAAAACCAAACAAAATCACAGATGTATACATGACCATAAGCGCATGGGCAGGGGGGCTGGGGGGGGGGGTGGTAGCCCCCCCAGTTTTTGAAAAACCATGTCAGTCTGGCAATTTTTCAAAAATTCTCTGCAAAAAGTCGGGCAGAAATGACACTGGAAAGTGATGGGACTTACTTTAGGCAATTTGGTTAAACATTTGTGGATTCTTCGAATAACCCACACACTGAAAGCTACGAGTCAATATCGTTGCATTATCAAATCGACCAAGAGTGCCTTAAAAATGATAAGATGGTTTTTGAAAATTACAAGAAGCAAAGCGTTTCTGAATCTTATGGTAATAATGCAGCAATGCTTGTCCAGAAGATGTTTCAAGAAGGTTTGCATCAAGTACTGCCATGAAACAACATCATTGCTAGCAACGATTCCAGCAACATCTTGCTCAGCTGAAAGATCATTCAGTGGCCTTTGACGGCTGAAAACATATCTCAGATCAACCATGGGCGAAGAACGGCTGAGCAATTTGGCACTACTTAGCATCGAGAGGAAATTTTCAAACAAAGTTTTGAAAAGTGACATGAATGCGATGATTGATACATTTGGACACAGGAAGGGTCGGGACTCACATTTCTTTTGATTATAGCCGAATTCAAGAGATAATAATAGTATTTTAAGTGATATTAAGTAAAATATTGGAAAATATTTTACATTGCTGCCCTTTTCTATGAGAAACTTAGATCAAACTTTAGACATTATAGAAGAATCTCTCAACTGACTATTTTTACTTTAAATATTTTGATGAAAAAGAACTCGTAATGTAAATATTCCTATGTCAAGTTCCTTATCACCAACAGGCTCATAAATATATGCATGCCTCTGTACTCTTTCAAAAATCCTACTGCCCCCCTTATAAGAATTCCACTGTACGCTTATGTACATGACTCTTTCAAAGTACAGAAAACAAAACTACAGACTTGCCTGTAACATGTCATGCAGTAAGACCGTAATGTAAGGTTATATGCTGTCATTAGAAAAGAGTCTTCAAACTGTGATGCAATTTTTGCATTTGCTTAAATTTTGCAACATATTGTTTTAACTTGTGTTTGCTTATGATCTCATTTAGCCCAAAAATGTTTAGCAATTCATTTTTCTATTTTTTAACATTTTTAACATTAAGATTAAATAAAGCAATTCATTTTTTGAAAGTCATTACCTGTTCTCTTGCTCAATTTCTTCCTCTGTCATATCCTCCATATGGTTTTCTCTCAAGCTTCTTATAAACTCTTTAACCTTGATTGGTTTAGCATTTCCTTCACTTGTTGATAATAAATCTAAATCATGCGGATTAATAAAAAGGTCACTTGCATCATCTATTGATTTATCTCCGTGGCTAAAGCATTCGCTATTTTGTGTTGCCTTTTTTTGTGTGCTGTTTTGTTCATTTTGTGAATTCGGTTCTTCCTTCACCTTGTTTGTGGCTTTTTCTTCTAGGGGATGCACACACTTGTAGAAAGAACGAAAATGTTTTTCAGATAAAATCTCGATCGACAAGCAATAAGCAAGATTTTCCGGGAAGGGAAAAGTTATTTTTACATAAAATCGAAAATTATAGAAATGAGAAACCTCGTTCCTTGTAATTTAAATCCTCCAGCAAGAAAATTACATAATATACCTTATGAATGGGGGTTTTAGATTCAGCCGCCATTCCCTCTTTCACAACAGCACAGATGTTAAAGTTGTTTGCTGATGTTTTCGATCCTCCACTAAAAATTGCTCGGATGGAAAGAAATCCGAAAATTATGGCCAACCGAGTAGCTATTAAGGCCAAGATGATCTCCATTTTAATTATTTACGATGAGAAATGCTACACGGGGTAGCTTATTGTGAAGAATTAAGATCACCAAAACATCTTCTCGTTGGAAACGAAAACTTGCAGCTCAAGGCCTGTCAAGCCGCCAGATGTCTCCTCCATGGGGATTGTAAGAAGGGAAGAGCAGGCTTTCCTCGCAGTAAATTGAGTTGAATTGTATGCATGCGACACGCTGACATATACATACCGTAAATCCTCGAATTAGCCCCCTGGAGGCTTATTTATTTTTGATATTTTTGGATGGGGGCTTATTCGAGGGGAGATTATACGAGGAAGGGGGGCTTATAAAATTATTGTCGACATTAATAAGACATTTTTAAAAGACCCCATTTATTCTAGTAGGAATTTCTTTATGAACATTTAATTAATTACTACAAGAAGTATGAATTTGTTGTGGTAATTCAAAAAAACGGCAATGACGAAAATCTCAGATGGCAAAAATCATCAAATGGAGGGGTCCAGTTCGATAATTTACAGTGAAAGTGGGGGGGGGCTTATTGACAATTTGTAGTTCTAAAGTGGGGGCTTATTCGAGGGGGTGGGCTTTTTCGAGGGAGGAGCCAATTCGAGGATTTACGGTATATTTTTTAATTAGTCCGGATCCTTGACAATGTCCTTGGAACACCTTGCGGCCAACGTTTCCGGCTATAAGATACAGAAATATCCTCATCCCCCCTAAAACAATGTTGGTTGAAATTACAAGCTTTGAAACTGTTGTTATTCAACAAGGGGGAGAGGGGGATGCTACTGAAGTTATGCGAAAATTTGGCTTAGTGTACCAAGACTTTTGGCACGGATTGCAGGGTAGAATTGGCTTCTCTTTTCAAAAACAATGTGTCCACCGCATTTGTGTTTCCGTTTCTTAATGACGTCTTGTGACGTCATAACAATATTTTTGCATAAACTTCCTAAATTGATTTTAATTTGGCCTCTAACATGCAATCTTGGGTGAAAATATATGCCGAGGCACATAATCGATTTTTAGCTCATCAGACGTCATAATTTATTATATCATTCACTGGTGATGACGTCATGACGTTTCTGCTAAATCTGCTGCTACAATCATGGACAAAATATAATGAGACAGTCCAACAAACGGTGACTTCCCCTTTCCCCTTACTTTAATGTTGAATGAGAGCCAGACGATCATTTCGTTCTTTCCTTGCTGCCATACCTAGATCTCAACATTGATATGGGGGAGGGGGAGAGGCATTGGCGGACACCCAGAGGTGCCCTAATATTTTGGAAGACTTTAGTCTTTTGTTCTAAAACAATAAACAATGTGACGTATATCTAAACAAAACTGTAGGGAACATATTCACTGAATCATTCCTCTGAATGAATGAATGAGCGAAGGAATGAATGAGTGAATGAATGAATGAATGAATGAATGAATGAATGAATGAATGAATGAATGAATGAATGAATGAATGAATGAATGAATGAATGAATGAATGAATGAATGAATGAATGAATGAATGAACGAATGAATTGTTTGACAAGCTAGCAAGTAGCAACATATTATGTCCAATCCAGTTACGTGGCACCAAGTTGGTCATCCGACATCCTTGGTCTTAGTTGGTATTTTCAGCCAGACTGCCTTCATTGAACTCCAATTTTAAACCTGGGGATGCAGGGACAGTGCACCAGTCTAAATCTGGGAGGGCTGAAAAGGGCGTGACCGAATTTTTTTTAGGCCGCGCCCTCTAGAACGGCGGAAAATGCCCCTTTTAGGAAATACTGGCATAATTCTCCTGGGGTTTTATAAACAGTCTGGTTCAGAGAAGATATCAATAGCTATAAAAATAGATATAAATTAGCTTGGGATAATAAAACATCAAGAAAAACACCCAGAGAATGAACAAAAGGGTTCCCGGTCAAGAAGACTTTTATTTTTATTGCTTTAGGCCAATTCAGAAATGCATAGATAATCTATCTGTTATGCTTTTTTATGAGAAAGCTCGATTGCAAATACCGTTGTTACAAGCTAATATGTCTCAATAAAAGCTGAAAAATTTGTTTCTAACATCTTTTACATCAGTTGCCTTAGGCCCACTTAGAAGTGCATGGCGAAATTTTCTGTTATTCGTTCCTGTGTCAGGCAGCTCAATTGAAAGTACCACATAATTTCATCAAAACGGCATATCCACTGACCAGAAGCTGTTGCTACAATCTGATATGTCTGTTCATATAAGACAGGGATTGTGCGTTTTAATTTTGATAACTCTAGGCATCTTAGGCCCATACGTTAGGCATTTCGTGCATTGTTATACGTTTCTTACTTGTTCATTTCCCACCGGGCAGCTGACTTCAAAATTTCACCGACTTTCATTTTATAAACATACCAGTTCCCAACTCAGTTTTGACTCCAGTCAAATTAAATCAATTTTGCTTAAAATCATGAACATTTCTATCCGCTGCACCTACTATATCTTATGTCGTTGATTTTAATCTTTGTATAGAATTAGGCTTCCTAGTAGATAGATCATGGTTGGAGTGAATGAGGATTCGATTGTCAGAGTGAAAAAGTGCTTTACGCTTAGAGTGTCGTGTGCAGTGACTCAGAAGACGATCTTGAGGAACTTTAAAACGATTAGACTACGTTTACATGATCCAGTTGTTAGTGTTATTTATCAGTTGGTAATAAATAGCGCTGCGTAGTTCCTTCGGATGACAATTCAAAAATTAGTCCCAACAAAAGATGTATTAAGCTTTTTAGATGTCTATTTAAGGATAAGAATTTTAAGATTGCGGACCCAAATTCAATTTTAATCATTTATGCGCAAGAGATATGCTTAATTTACTTTAAGACTTTAACGTATTCCCATTTAAACTGTTTTTTCATTGATTACTTTCATATACGCAAAAACGAGACTTCAAACACGAAAAAGAGGCTGATGGTCCCCCAAAACCCCGTATAACATCGATTTTCGAAATCAGCACCCTAGAATTGACCAAAAGCACTTGGTCACAGAATAATTCTGTGACTTGGTCCCATAAATTCCTCTCTCGGACGACCATTCCCCTATTCTCCGCCTGGTCTATTTTTATTGTAATTTTTTAAACAAATGCTCCCATTAAAGTGAAGTTTTGATTGATTATTGTTTTACTTCCAACTAATTCCTATTCGCCAATTAAAACACAAATAATTTGCATAAAAATAGCTTTCGACTATCCTTGCCCCAGTTCCCCTCCTTCGAGGTGATACAATATCTACTTTTAATAAACTTTTGAATAACTTTTTTGCTTGAATTTTTTCAGGCCAGCAAGTTACAAATAACCTATATAAAAGTAAGATTGTTGATTGAAAATGAAAAGTTTCCGCTTTAGATACGATAAAAGCATAAAAAGGAACAATAGAACAATTGATCTCACGCATCCGGAACCGGATGAGTTTGCAAGAATGTGTGTACACGACAACGACACATACCAAGATGGAAATTGGGAAGGAAACGGCTTCAGCTAATATCAATTATTTAAAGATGTAGCAGGTAAGGTATTAACATTTCAGGCAATTTCTGTAATCTGGGTTTCATTAATGTACAACAGATCTGTGATTCAAGCGGGTTACAAAATACCCATGTTAGTTTAATCAAGCCCCAACATGTAGGACTAACGGTAGAACATTTCCACGTGTGTTGTAAGGAGATCACCAGGTCCAGTGTCTTCATAAACCCAATAAATGTTTCACAATTCAAGTCTCAATTCCGGTCAGAAATTTCATAGACGAATAGGCTAACTTCAACGTGCCCTGTCTTGAAAACATGTTGAATCTCGCTTGAAATGTGCCGAAGGTCATGCCGTCGGAACAAGAATTGGGGAAGTAGTGTAGCAGACTGAGACAATGTTTTGCTTCCAATTCCTATTTCTACTTTAACACGTTAATTCAAAAAATCAGATAGAATTCAATGCTCTATGTGATACAATATGGTTTAGCAGTTACCAATTGTACAGTTGAGGGGAAGGGGGGAATTATTAAGGGAAGGGATGCTGCAACCCTTTATGTAAGCAACATATTATTGCATGTTCTGCAGTCTTATTAGCATATCAAATCCATCTTTGGCCAGCTGTCAACAACCTGACTTTAGATTATAGACACCCTATGATATCGGAAGTAAGCTTTTTGTTGTTTTCTTAGAAATACTTTTTGTGCAACGCATAAAGCAAATCCACCCGCACTAACAAAGTTCAGAGGGAATTGCGAGTGGTGCGAGAGCGCCGTCGGCAAGAAAAATACTTTGCAACTCTACCGAAGGCCCGAATCGGTAAGTAAACCAGAGAGGTTTGAAAAATATCTCATTTCAGTGGCAAGATTATGGTACCTCGATAAACATTCTCCTTCTTATCGCATTGTTTATTTAGCTTTTCCCCCTCTATTTGTATCAAGACTGTATTATTCTTATCATATATCTTGCTTTCATATTTACTCAGAAGTTGTCTTTGTATTACATGATGAAATTTGCATACTTTGCTACATCTAAGATACTTTGTTGCTACTTTTTTAATGACACTGGGTTCAACCATTGCAGCTTCCTTTCCTAAGGATCTTTGTATTCCTAAACTTGGTTTTGTAATTTGTATTGTATACATATTAAGTCAATTTATTAGTTTATTATTCTTTAATTTGTTTCTTAATTTATAACTTAATTTATTAGAATTTGGTTACAAAAAGTGTGTGGGAAACTTTTGTAATTGTTTACATAGTGAATTCATACTTTCATGTAACTTGAATTTCACATCTTTTTATCTTTGATATTTTTTAAGTCTGCCACATTTTCTTATATCAGTCTTGTTCCAGATTCAGCAGATTGGTAAATGTGATGGATTGCATTCTGTGAAAGTATAGAACTGATCTCATTTGTGCTCTTGTGATTTTCCCTGGAGAACAGGTACTAAATCATAGTAATTGATTTGAATTTTACTAAATGTTTGTTTTCTGTCACCTATATCTTATTTCTTAGTTTAGAAAACACCATTTCTGATGATGGTGTCAGGGAATTCTCATTTATTGGAAAAAAGTTTAAGTTCTTTGTCTTCTTTCCACTTAAAGGCAGTGTGTCGCGCTGTTCATTTTGTTGAATTTCGAGGGTCCTCGAAATTAGAGAAGCGTGACAAATTAGAACAACACATCGCTAGCATCATTAAGCGTCCTTTGTTACGAAATGAAAACTCACTGAAATAGAAATTTTGTTCTTTGCTTCGATAAACCAATGAACGGCGCGACGTACTGCCTTTAAATTACATTTAATGACATAGCAACCAATTGTTTCACAGACTGTTTCACAGATTTGCATCCTATAATTTTATATCTGACCATGGTTAGAGCCATTGAAAATTTTTGATTAAGTTCAGTATTTTTGCTGGTATTGTTAAGCAAATATTAGTCTGTTTATGTCACTAAACTCTTTACAGTGATGCTTAGCATGGTAGTGTTATCAATATTGCTCTACTCACTGGATACATTTTCCTTGTTTTACACTAAACAACATTGATAAGGCAATTCCTTTCATTTCTAATTTTTCTGACAAATGCCTCCGAGTCTCTCTTCTATTTCTGTTGGTACTTTGAAGCTTCTGACTTTGTTCAATAAAAATTAAAGCCAGGTCACTAATAATTTAAGATTAATAATACATAATTGCCACTCTTTTAAAGAATAAAGTATTGAAAGTTATCGAGACAGTATTGTGCAAGACATGTACTAAGTTTTTATAGAAATATGAAATGATCTGCTAGATACTGTATTCTCCCTTGTATTCCCAATCTCTCCAATATTCCTGCCTCTCTCATAATCCAGCTTTTTCTCTATATTTTGACAAATTAATTCTGATCTTCATTTGTTCAGTTATTATTTTCAGTTTATTTTTAGGTTTTTTAAAGATACAGGTTTTGAAATTTTTGTAGTTTTGAAATATAGACTACTTCCTTTAATTTTTCTTGTGACAAAATTTCAAGCCTGCTTTCTAAAATCATGTTGAAAAACTAATTCTGCCTTACTGATAGTCCCACATCTATGATAATCCCATATTTAGTTAGAGATTCTATCAAGAAACCCACAGCAAGTAAGAAAAGGTGATATATGGCAATTGTTTTACATTGAATTAAAATAAATTCTCAACAACAAAAACAAGAACCTTTGCTAACATTGTGAAGCTTTTTAAACTCTTTACAAGTTTAAAGGTGTCTTGATTGATATCTGATTGCAGGTGCTATCACTGATAGTCAGCTTTTTTCTTACCAGGCTTTCTATAGGATTTTGTAGCCTAAGCATCTGAGAGTTTAATGAGCTAATGCATTTTTTAACCTGATTCAATATTAAAAATACTATACACTTTTATTAGTCCAGTAGCAAAGAAAGAAAGGGGGCATTACCACTATGGAAGGAAGTTCATGAGACAAGGTGATACTGGTTGATTTGGGGAGTGGGTAGAATTCAACATTTGATATATATGTCCCAAAATTGAACCAAAATTTGTTTTTTACAACTTTTAATAAAGCTCTTTAAATATTTGATTTCTGGTTATGAAACATTGATAATGGACTCTCCAAGCCTATATTAGTTGTTATTCAAGCTTCAGTTTATTGTATTCCTTTCTAGGGTAGTTGTGCCCCCAAATATGGGCAACTAGACAGTACACATGTTCATGCCCCATTTATTAAACATACCTTGTATTTTGAGTTTCCAGGGTGTAGAATCTGAATTTTGTTTACTATACACCCATTGTCAAATTAAAATTGTTTACTATACACCCATTGTCAGCTTACTTACATTGGGAGCTGTCATACAATCTTCTGATATTAGGAGATTTGGGATCCAGTTTGTTGTTTGAGTGGTATGCTCAAAGAGAAGGGGCTCTATAACCTAACTCTTAAGCCTGAATAAGGCATATAATAAGCTTGAAGGGTCGATGATTAATGCCATGTAACCAAGTAATCGCACACTATTGGACAGTTTTTATTGAATAGCATTTTTTGTTTCAATTTATATGCATCTATCTCCATATCTTATAGGGGCAGTTGCCCCTCCCTCATCAAGTTGAAGCAAGTCTGGTGCCCCTTTTTGGAAGTTGTGCACCCATTTTGAAGAATGAGAATCAGATGAAAAATTTTTTGAGACCTATCTTTTAATTGACTTCAAGGATTACCTCAAAGTTAACTTGTTTATTCCAAAAATAGATAATTTTTTTGCTAAAAGATAACTCTTTGAAAAACAACAAAGGCTATCCACAAAACTGTGTTCTCCAATTCTTGCCTTCACTCAAACAGTTTTCAATTTTTTGAGCTTAAAAGTTGTCCAATCTTTATGTCATTAATCAAACAAAATAGAGCTATGGAGCATAATTGCCAAGGATTAATTGCTTTTTGCCTAGGATCTTTGGTTCTCAGTCGATGTTGTAAATATTCTAGACCCATGTTAAGGCTACCTCCAGAATTTCAAATTAGCAAAACTTTTTCTGCCGCCAACCATAGTGGCCGCAGAACCCTGAATCCATCTTACCTTTTGCAATAAAGACGTACTATTGAATTCTAGGTGCATTCATTAAAGTACTGTCTAACTATACAGCCAAACTCCAATTGGAAATTTAGTCAAGATTGGCAAATTTTCTGGGCCTCGGTTTCTCGCTAAGGAAAAAGCATTCAGATCAGTCCCTTTTGCAAAAAACACTAGCAGAGTTGGAGCCACTATGGCGGAGCAGCGGAAAATTTTTCTATTATAAAATAAATTTTAATAAGAGATACTCAGACTACATATCATTACTTTGAAGCAATGATTGTGAAAATTTTCTTAGAACGTAAATAGAGAGCCTTCTGTCAGTGGTTTGGATCGGAAATTGTTGCATACAGCCTGCTCTCGTTATCAATTTCTAAAAATTTTTCAGCGCCCCCACCACCAACTGCCCCTCCTTCAAATTTTGTCTGGATCCGTCCCTGCGCCCCTCTCCCAACTTCCGGCTACTATTGGGCGGGCTGCCTTTTTGGTTTGTTTGTTCCCTGCAGACACAACATGATACTTTTCAAAAGTTTTCCAATTTTTCAGTCCCTTTGGTTTTAAGGATCGACATCATTCCCTGCCATGCCAAAATCATTTGTGCAGCCAAAGCTCTTCTAAGAAAGTGTCCCGCGCTGCAAGAGGACAATATTAAGAGAAGGGATATCTTGGAAATGTACTTTCCATCCAATGAGAATATGAGGAAATTTACAGAGCAATTAAAACCATGCGCATTAAGTGGGTCTCTTGACGGGTCTAGTGACGATAAGATAAAGTCTAAAGGGTTTTGATGCTGGTCCTTTCGAAGTTATCCCAGGAGAAAAAGTTTGTTTAGAAGATTTTTCAGGGTTATCAATTGATCCCAATTATTCTGATCAAGATGAAAACATTATAACTGACTAATGTAAATAAGCTGCCGGCAAAGTTTTTTCGCTAAAAATCATGCAGAGAAGATGTAAAAGAACATTTTTATATCATTTTGTACTTTGAATTATTAATTAGTCCCCCTCTCTGTTAAGACCCCTTCTAGGACTGAAAAAATAAATAAGCCCCCCCCCCAAGGGTTTAATGGAGCTTTAACGGTACATGCCTTTTTGCAAACATTTTAAAACTGCATAGTTTTTTTAGAACTGCACAAAAAGCTTTTAGAGCTACGCATTTTAAGTAGAACTGCACGTTAAAAAAACCCCAAATAACTGTAGCTCTGTCCGGCTGAAAGTCAAGATCCTAATGAAACCAGAAGTTCAAACTCCTTTAACCTTGACTCAGCCATGCATTATTTCTTCAGCATTGACATTTTTATTCATTAGTTAAAAATTTCATTCATTCAGCATATTCCTTTTGATTTATATCATTACTAATTTCATATATTGACATTGTTAATTTCAAATACTTCGTTTCTCACATCCTAATATCTTTCCTGAAGTAAATTTTTGGGCCCTTGATGGATTTTTTCATACTTCTCATATTACGGAAGGGCGACCCCTTTTTCACTTTATCAGTGATGACTGTTTGCCGACCTTGTGAACATATTTAACATAAAAGCGAGAAAGAAAAGACTTGAAGCAGATATGCTTTTATGTTTGCTCATCTACAAACGTTAGTGACATCTGGAAAGTTTCAAATGTTCAGTGAAAAAATTAAATTAAATTTGGCGCGCTTTAGAGATTTGGAGGGAATTTTGGGGGAAGCTTTAGGTCCATTGTAAACCAAGAAGCTTACTTATTTATAAGATTGCAAGAAGCCCCAGTTTACCTTACTTTATGTTTTGCATTGCATGGAATGTGTCTTCCCTTGTCAACAAAAAAAATATAACAGCCAACTTCATTTTACGCAAATTATAATATTTAACGGAGCGAATATACTAGATAGATAAGATCTGGTTTATTGAAATTAGTTTTCTTTTTTAGGCGATAGAAGCATTCGAAGAATGTTTTTTAGTGAAATCCAGAGATTTTTTCATATGAAATATGTTCTTGATACTTTGCTCAACGATGGTATCGAACTATTGGAATCAGGCAAGACTGAAGAAGCGATCTATCAGCTTGAAAAGTGCATTGGACTAGCTCCAGAATCAGATGATTTTTTAAACGTTCGGGTTTTAGCAATAGTGCATTTGGGAAAGGCACATATTAAGGAGGGCAGATTTGAAGAAGCAGTGCGTGTCTTTCATTTAGTACCATCTTCTTCGCGGCTTAACAAAGAATTCATCGACCGTGTAAGTGTTGACGAAATACAACTGTTATTGTTTTATTAAGAATAAACATCCCTGTTTGCTTGCAATCAACAAAGCTTCAATCAACAAAGTTGCAATCAGTTGTTTTGAAGAAGCCCTGTGTGTCGAAGCGAAATGAAAACTTACAAATAGTTGTTTATTTACGACGCATTACCCAATTTCCTATATCTTTTACAAATTTTCCATCATCACAATCTATTGACTCCATATCACAAAATATTGTGTTTGAAATTGGAAGTTTTCCTCCTTGGTTTTTTCCGAATGTAAGCAATTTTTTGGGTCCGCATACGACCACTTCTTGCTATGTCGAACTAATTCTTCTTAGCTCTCCCATTTCTCAATAATTTTTATATCATTTTGCAGAGTGATGTTCAAGTTTTGCTCCAAACCGGAGTTCAGCATTTAGGCGATGAAAACTATCAAAAAGCAATATTGTTTTTTCATGGAGTTAGAGTAGTTGCAGTTGATCGGCCATCCGTTCTTAAAGCAGAAGTTGGATTGTATATAGCTATTTACCAAAAAGAGAGAAAATCGTCCACTTGGCTTGCAAGCAAATTAAACGAGATAGTACATGATTTTCTTTCTTTGCCAATGAGAAGCAACATTTTACAAGTATGTATCAGCCTTTGTTTTGATATTATTTATTTAATTGCCATAGATAAATACTAAGTGAGCCAAACTGGTGCATTGGCTGAAGCAGCAATGGCTGCACGACTGCAAATTTTTAGCTAACCGAAAGTTTGATAGAAGTTATAAGATGACTTTTTAGTTTGAAAATAATGGAAAATATCAAAATTGATAACTAAAAATAGCAAATGCAAGGATATACTTTTTGCCTTTTTCTAAACAATTTCAGCACTTACAACAACACAAAACTTAAGCCTTGACGATAGGACTACTTGTGAGATATTTATAATCAAAAGCTGAAAGTCAAGATCCTAATGAAACCAGAAGTTCAAACTCCTTTAACCTTGACTCAGCCATGCATTATTTCTTCAGCATTGACATTTTTATTCATTAGTTAAAAATTTAATTTATTCAGCGCCGACCTTTTGATTTATATCATTATTAATTTCATACATTGACATTGTTAATTTCAAATACTTCGTTTCTCACACCTTAATTTCTTTCCTGAAGTAAATTTTTGGCCCTCTATGGCTTTCTTCATACTTTTCATATTATGGAAGGGTGACCCCCTTTTAACCTTGTCAGTCATGACCGTTTGCCGTCCTTGGCAATGTCGTGAACATAAAAGCGAGGAAGCACTTGGGAGACCTCCTTATCTATTAAACTTCTTAGATGGTCACAGTAACAAATCAAGTCATAAGAATAATAATTATGATGTAATGATTTTGTTATAACGATTTGAGCTTTATTTTGATAAATATATTGCAAGAAATATATTGACCTGTTTTTATTAAATTGTATCTATATCAATATTTGAAAAATACCGAAACCTCTCAATATAAAGCAAAATATTGTTTTGCAGGAATTCTGTGAAGTATTGTTTACAATGGGCAAGAAGAAGAAGTCAAAGCAAGATTACAGTACATCCGTCAGAGATCTTGCTGCTGCATACGAGCTGTGTAGCCATTTGCCGACAAAAGAGTCCAAAGAGTTGTATAAAGCAATTAATCAGTGCTTCATTAAAGTTTATGTAAAATTGAATGATGGAGAAAAGGCGTTGAAAAAGTTTGAAGAATGCATGAATCTGGAAAAGAATTTCTATAAAGTAAGATATCTCTGTTCATCAGCTTATATCATCATAATTTTTAATTTTTAACAATCTCTCAGAGTCGATGCACAAGGCATTTGTTTATCAACACAAAACATTAATGTTTGCTGAGACTGGCTGAAGAACACTTTATGGACTGGTAAATAATTCCAAATAGGTATATTGCATCAAGCTCAACTGTATCAACTTTGCAAAACCTTTTGGTGATCTTTTTTTGAGTTTGACTCTCTTTTGTAGCTCGATGGGTTTTTTGGCTTATATAGTCTGTTCCATTTCACTGCAAGTTTAGTGTGACAAACTCTCTAAGACAAAGGTCTCAAGCAAGTTGATATCTATTACAATTTAATGCCAAAACATTTTTTGTTTTTGGATAGTTATTTGTACGTTGACATGACATGTGAAGGGATGCCTTTGCTGCCTGGCTCACGATAAGAGCTTTGTTATAGCAGGTTTGGCTTGCCCGCTTTGCTATTCATTCCTAAAGACATGAAGAACTCCTAGCGGTCAAGTTGCGTAGGTTATTGAGCCCAATTAAGGGGGGAAAGAGAAAAAATACTGAATTTATTTCCCCTTTTACTTTTCTTCTGGCTTTAAATGGCCCTTTTAAACATTTGCCTGGTTTAACTACCCACAATATCATACTTTTGTTCGCGAACAGAGCGTGATTTTCCTCAAAAGATTAAGATCATAGAGATTTGCATTTTTCATAAAGGCATATGCAGAATAAACGCGAGCTTAGTCAGTTATTATCTGTTAGAGTAAACGTGATTTTTGTTTCATAGCAATTTTGGAAATCAGAAGAATGCAAAGCAAAGCAAGAGTTGGCAAAATACCGAGATAAAGCCCTTGGGAGATTCTGGATGCTGTCCATCCTAACACCGGCATTGCCAAATGACGTTACACTCTTGCCAGTTGCCATCAATATGCATTTGACTCTCTACAAAATGAAACGTGATTCGAATGCATTAGAAGATGCATTGTCGTGTCTTCAAAACGTCACAAGTTATTTAGAAGCCCATGCACATAGTGATGAGGTATCCTTTGTCTTCTCTTTTTTCCGGCATGCAAGCCTAAATGACTTGCCTGTGTCTGTAAATTTTTTTGTTGAGCTTCAGTGTGTGTGTTAATTCGTGTTATAGCAAGCAGGATCAATAGCTGCTTTTCTATTGCTATGTAAGCACTTTGCCATGTAAGCACTGGATATGTGCTTATACTACAGACAAAGCATAGCAATAATAGCATACATCCTATTGCAATACTGATAGTCACATGCGTTACCTTTCTCTTTCCTTACTCTGATCGTACTCAATTTTTTTCCTCTAGCATTTTGCCAAAGAAATGAAATCCTTTGGAAACTGCTTATCAAAGGAAAATAAAACTCTTGAAGCTAAAAGGGTTTACAGCTTTGCACTCAGTGCTGCCCCAAAAAATGGCGTTGTCCTTAGACGTGATCTGTTTTCAAATCGAGCCTACATGAATCAGCTGTTGGGAAAAAATGAAGATGCAGTGCGGGATGCTAGGGCATGCGTGGAGCTGTGTCCTCAGTGGCCTAAGGTATTCTACTTGTTGAAATGATGTCATATAGTTCCGTTTTTACCTAACTTATATTTTTCCTTAATTCATTATGAACAGTTTATTTGAAGACTTTTATAATTCCTGAAACTTTTTCCCCCACGTCTTGCGAGAAAATTATGCATTTTCTTATATTGTACAGTATGCTTCGTTGAAGTCCCCTTGTGAGCTCCTTGTAAGTGGTGCTTATTGTGACTTCCTCACTACTTCCATCTTTAACGCGCAAATCGTACCATATCAGGGCTATCTCCGACTTGCCGTGGCTCAGCGAGAGCAGAAGCAATTCAAAGAGGCACACAATGCATTACTGAAATGCTTTCAGTTTTCGCCGGTCACAGAGCAGCCCAATTTACTTGTGCACATTTTCAAGAATATTCTGGATATCGGTACGTTCTTTTCTGTACACTTTTTTAAGAAAAATTTTAATTTTGTATGATTAGAGAGCAATGAATACACGGAGAACGGAGAGGTTGCTCCTGTCAAGTTAAAATCGAGAAAATGAAGTTGTCTAGTTATAAATTCAAGTCTAGTTCCACAGTGCCATCATTTTATCGCCTGCTACCTAGGCCTTGTTGCGTTCCGCCATGTTAGGTGTTTTTTAATAGCAAACTAAGTGTTACAATTATTTTTATAAACTAGCGTTCTTGTGCCGTTCGTATTTTTTTCAAAAGCGCTTTTTTAGGAGTCATAGCAGATCAACACAAGTGCAGAAATTGAAAGAATTCTTATCAGACTTCCATAGCAGCAAACGGACTGCCATTAGATGGTATCTTTCGATGTAATTGCGTGTTAGTTGTGACCGTTTTGTATTCCGTAGATACAGAGAAAGAGCGACAGAAGTTTAAACTTCCAAGTGACATTTCCATTAATGCTATCAACAACTGTGTGGCCAAGTTAGCTAAGGAACAGTCTCCAATCGCTTTTGATGTCATTAGGTACATTTTCAAGGAATCTAAGTATGCTGATTACGCAAATGCCGGTCCAGTGGATGTTGTCAGAATGATGCAGAAAGACTGCTCACCCCATTTCATTCGATGCCTGATTAGCCGTGGAGCAAATTCGAGCCAACCTTTAAATCACCTTCTTAAATCTGACTCCCGCACTGAAGAACAAAGGGAAATTCTAATGTTCCTGATAGAGCAGGATATTGATCTTTCCAGATACATTAAAGCAATCCCAAATGAACCGCCTTCGTTTATGTTTGTTAGATTTTGCTTGGAATACAGTAAGTAGAGAGAAAGTTGGATTTTTATGCTAAATTTGTGATGATCTTGATGTTGAAAACTGTTCATTCTTGTTAACATTTAATCAAGCCCAAGAAAGAACGGGCTATCAAAAAGCTGCTGACCTAAAAACCCTCCTTTGGGAAATTTTGGTGTTAAAAGAAAATAAAACTTTTTACTTTTCAGTTGTCACGAAAAGAGGCTTTCCAGAATATCTAGAAAATCTGAATATTACATAGAAGCCATTCAGCGATTTTAATTTTCTTTTCAAATGTTTTCCCCAACAGATCTTTTGGATATCCTTTCTAATGTTGTGGATAAAAAAGATTTCAGTGTTAAGGATGGCAACGGCAACAACATTCTGCATGTTTTAATGAAAATGGAGGACTCAAACAACGTATACCGCTGTATTAACCTCGTTCTCAAACGAGTTGCTGTGGACCCAAAAGAGACAAACAAGGACGGGTTGAAACCAAGCCAGTTAAGTGAATTGGTATCGGATAAGAGAGTGACTCTGCTTGAAGAATTCGAGAGGGATGGACGCAGTGGGAAAAAGAATAAGAAGAAAAAGAACAAAAATAGCGTGGAATCCCCCGTAGAAAGTCTTGTAGCAAGCACAAGTAAGTGTTTGGTCAAGTGCATGCACTATCATGAAATAGTAAAAGCTTTGGTAGTTTTTTTTCCGTGATTTGCTTTAAGAATTATGGAGACACGTTATTTAAGTATTTATTAACTAACAACCATTGTGGGTTGTGACATGCACACAGCACCTAGATCTTGATTTAAGTGTATCTTAGGTTTCTAAATAGCAAATAAGATCTTGTTTTTGTTCCTGCCTTTAAATTTGAATGTGGGCAGCCATTTTTAAACATTTCAGGCGAAAAACTGCTATGTATTTTTGAAGATGTTTCTGCTTTTTCTTATTGGCGTGAAATGCGGGAGCAAAACTAAACATTTAAGATCACATGCTATGAATGTGGAGATAAAGGGGAGGTGTTTTGCTCTTTGTTCTCCTATAGCCGGAAGGTATTATGAAACCGGAAGACATTTTCAAAATAGGATTTTTGATAAAATTTGATAAACGAGAACCAGAATAAATGAGGATCGGAATTCTATAGAATGGCAAGAAACCAATGAAAAGGTGAATTTTTGAATACGATGAAAGACTTTTTAAACCTGTAAGAAATTTTGACCTTCCAGGTGAAATTCCTAGAAATGAGGCAACAAGCATAAACAGTTTGCAAATAGCTGACGACACGCAAAAGTTGACCGTACATGGCCCGAATGAAGATAACCAACTGGTCATGAAAGCGGGGCCCAGTCTCCCTTCTCTGTATGAGCAAAGCAGAAAGACCGTTACTGATTGCATTCGGAGTTTCAAAATGGAGGCTGTTGAGAAAAAGCCAGAGTCTGACGTTATCCATGTCATTAAAGATAAACCCGTCCCAGAAGAACGGCCTGTCGTGGACACCAAATTGGTTGCTGGTAACGAGCCAGTTAGAAAGGACGGGGAAGTTGTTGATGAAAAGCCGGTCGGTGAAAACAGACCTGTCAATGAGGAAAAACCTGCTGCAATACAAAGTGCTGGGTCACGACCATCAGCAAACGGCAATGAATACAGTGGTAGGGATTCGCTCCTGGCTTGTGGGTATGACGACGAAGACCAAGACTTTGAAACGAATAATGATTTCAAACAGTTAAATGTATTCGAAGGCCTGCCATGGGATGTCCAATGCACGTCGGAATTTTGGAAAAAATTGAAGAATCCGAAGCTGGCAGAAACATTGAAGAAAAAGCTACTAATCAAGATCAAATTGCTGGCATCTGGAGAGTGGCGCAAGTCGTTGGCCATCAAGCTGGAAGGAGCCTGGTGCTCCTCAGGCAAGTACCAAATCTTCTGAAAATTGTCTTTTTTTCTGTCACTTAAGCATTATATTTGAGTTGTAAACTTTGTTTTGTCTATTTTTTTAATTGCGCCGAAAAATTTTATCCCATTGCACAAACTCCTGGTTGACAAAGATTTTAAATTTGAAATAAATAATCATGAAATAAAGTTGTGCCCTGTCACGTTTCATGTAAGCATTGCTTGAAATTTTTTAAATATCGTATCAGTTATGATATGATTGACTTCTGCATAGTCACCCCTCTTTACGATAAATCATTTTTTGGTGTTGCACAGCATTTTCTTGCTTGTATCAGACAGCATGGCAGGAAATTCTGTTCGTAGCGCAAACTCTTGTCCTTTTTGAAATAAAAGCATAACTTTGTATTTTTTTGTCGTAGGAATTCGATTGTACAAATGCAAAGTGACAAAGGCAGCGAGGATGATTTGGGAAGAAGCGATTGCATTTTCAGAACGACGAAGCCTTGATCAAGGAAAAAATGTCCAGGGTAACAGCCAGTTTGTGTACGCAGATGTCATCAGATTGTGGGACTTCACAGTGGACCATGATGAAGTAGCCACTATGATTAACCGGGTTGCGGAATCTCGCATTCGTGGTAAGTCTTGCTCATTCAAAAAGAAACTGACCAAAGTTGAAGTCAAGAGTGTGACAGAAACAAGTGAAAATATTCGCCTGCCGAATTTGTACAAATCTCGAAATTGTGTCGAGGTTATATCTGCAGAGCGCAGCAAACAAAAGTCTTTGCGTAATTTTACATTCTTCCCGTCTGCAAGCCCCAATGATGACGAATATCACATCTTGAAATTCTACGCACTGTCAAGCGCAATGGCAAAAAGTGTTCTGCAAAACTGTGAGCAGGACTTTGACTTTCCATTTCAAGTCAGCGAATTAGAATACTGTATCATCAGGCTAAACCCTGTCCCACTCTCATCTATTTTACTCTTGGGCAGAAGTGGTACAGGCAAGACAACATGCTGTGTCTACCGCCTTTGGAGCAAATTCAAGACCTACTGGGAAAATGCTGTCACTGCTGGACCGCACATTCCTATTTTGCAGAGATTAGTAAACGTGGAATCAGAAGAAAAGGAAGACATTGCGAAGAATGAAAATGACATGGCGGCCTCACCTCGTAAAGTCTCTAGATCAGAGGAGCGTGTTATGTCATGTGGTTGTATGGGGATCTGCATGTGTGCCTTAGCGGCTGCACGAGCTGCCAATCCGTCGATTTACGCCGATGAGGATGTAGAATCAGAGACCATCGAAACAAAATCATCTGCCCATCCGGTAACTGAAGGTCC